TGAGTCAGGCAATGAAGAAGGCAGTGGGAGAGATTAGGAAAGGGCAACAGCAAGTGCAAAGGTCCTGAGGTGGAAACCAGCTTGACTTGTTCAGGGTACAGGGGAAAGTGGAATGGCTGGGAGAGTGAGTGGGAGACAAATAACTGGTGAGGTGGGGAGGCAGGCAGGACTGGCTTTTGCAGGGCCTCATGGGCAAGATCAAGGAGTTTGGAATGTGTGCTGGGTATGATGGGAGGTTGTTGTTGGGGGTTCTAAGCTGGCGAGGGTCCCAACTGACCCTTTACAAAGCTCCCTCCAGCTGCTGTGGGGAGAATGGGCTAGAAGTAAGGAGTGGGAAGTCCTTGCAGGCATCGAGGTGGCGATGAGGGTGAAGGTGGGGTCCGGGATGCTATTTCGTGTGGATCCGATAGGTCAAGGGTGATTCCTGGGACTTTGGCTTCAGAAATTGGTGGTGGTGAGGTGGTTTCCTGAGCCGGGGGAGGCAGGGGAGGAACAGGGTGTTTTGGAGGGTGGGGCTGGGGAACCAGGAGTTTCACTTTGGACGTGGTAGTGTTCAAAGAGTCTATTAATCACCCAAGTGGGAGACATCAAATAGGCAGATGGATATTTGGGGCTGAAGCTCAGTGGAGGGTCTGGGCGGGAGCTAGAAGTTGTAAGTTTTCAGGAAGAGGATGGACTGGTGGGGCTGCCGCCCTCGAGAGCTCACGGGGTGACGTGAGGCTGATGTGAGGGTGCAGTGCTAGCAAATGCTGGTGTTGGAGGAGTAGGTTGTGATTTCCAAAATGCTTTGAGAATAATAATATTACTCAGGCCTCAAAACAACCCAGTGAAGAGTTAGACATTATTACTCCCATTTTATAGATGACAAAACTGAGCCCTGAGAGAAATGACTCAGTTAAAAAGGACTGCCATTTACGGAGGACCACTTCAGTGAACCAGGGATCATACTAAACGTTCTACACCTGTTGTCTCATTTAATCCTTTAACAGCTCCATGAGGTAAGAATTATTGAGGTGTCACCTGAGGAAGTTGAGGCTTAAAGAGGGTAAGGAACTGCCCATGGTCTCACGGTGTGTAAGGGACAGAGTCAGGTGTCTGGCCATCTCCAGAGCCCAGGTGGTTCCAGGACACCGTGCATTGTCACCCTATACAGTAAGGCCCAGAGAGACAGCTGGCTTCCTCCAAGTCACACAGCAAGAAGCAGGCACGGGAATTCCCTGGCGGTCCAGTTGTTAAGGCTACGCACTTTCACTGCCAAGGGCCCGGGTTCAATCCCTGGTGGGGAACTAAGATCCCCAAAGATCCCACAAAACAAAAACAAAGAAAAAACAAAAAAGCAGGCACGATGGCCAGGACTCTAACCCTCACGGTTCTCAGCTGGAAGGGATCCTTGCACACCGAGGTGACCTTCCCACCCAGTGTGGGAACTCCCTCTGCACCATTCTGGGGGTGCAGTTTCACCCAGATGACCCCCAGGACGGTGCTCACTGCCTTCCTCCCTAGGCGGTCCCTTCTACAATCAATTGCAAGTAACTTACAGGGTCCCCAGACCCCATCCCTTCCCCACTCTGGACGTCACTCTAGGCTGTCCACGTCTTCGCAGCACGCAGTGTCCAGAACTGGTCAAAATTTGCCATATCAGAGACGGCAAGTGAGTGTCGATGTGCATGTCGACACCGTCCCCACTGGGGCTGCGGGAGTGTAGCGTGTGAGGCCAGTCATGGGGGAGAGGGGAGTCGGCCCTGCGCGCTGGAGTGAGGCAGCGCACCTGCACGGCTCTGGGGCCCCAGCGGCCTCTAGTTCCTGCTCAAGGCTGCCTTCTCCCCACCGGGTGGAACCAAGCCCAGTGGGTGATTACACTGCAGTTCACCCATATGAACCCATATGTGTCATATCAACCGTGTGTCTCAGTCTTTCTGCCCCCAGTCTGTGGCCCAGATCCCACCTGTGGCAAAGCACAGCCAGTCTGCCCCCAAACACCACCAGCCCTAAGGGTTACCTTATTCATTCACTGAAAATTCATGGATTGCCCGTTCTATGCCTGCACTGGGGCGGGGGAGTGAAGAGAATATAGCGATGAGCAAGAATTTCTCGCCCCTCTTCTCGGTTTTAATTGGCTGTGCTAGCTCTTCTCACGGGTTAGGGACAGAGTAGATGATCCACTACGGGGCCGGGGGTGGGGGGGGTGGGGCCTGCGAAGCGCTGGCATCCCTCCGCCTACTCCAATTTCTCCACACTGTCTCCGTCCTAACACGCCCCCAAGTGGCTTCAGCTGGTGTGCCGATTCAGATGGCTCTAGGTTGTGGAGAAATGGCGCCTTCTACTGGCTAACCCCAGTCTTCTTTGTTTGTTTGTTTGCGTTGGGTCTTCGTTGCTGCGCGCGGGCTTTCTCTAGTTGTGGCGATAGGGGACTACTCTTTGTTGTGGTGCGCGGGCTTCTCATTGCGGTGGCTTCTTTTGTTGCAGAGCTCGGGCTGTAGGCGCGCGGGCTTCAGTAGTTGCGGCATGCGGGCTCAGTACTTCTGACTCATGGGCTTAGTTGCTCCGCGGCATGTGGGATCTTCCCCGACCAGGGCTCGAACCCGTTCTCCTGCATTGGCAGGCGGAGTCTTATCCACTGCGCCACCAGGGAAGTCCCTAACCCCAGTCTTGAGGCAGCTCACTGTTCACCCAGAATCTTCTCTCTTTCTCTCCTTCTTGAATTCCTTTGGTCAACCAGCGTTTGGGGATCATCCACCACGCCCAGGCACCTTTCTGCATGAGGGTTACAGTGAGGAATCAGGCAAACAAATCTGTACCCTCGTGGAGCTGGCACCAACCCTTTTTGAGGAGACAGACAGGAAGCTGCTATTGCTACGAGGGAAGGAAAAGAACATATTGTAAGAGAGCGACTAGGGGGAAAAAATCTCCGTGGCAGAGCAGGTGGCCAGAGGAAGCCTCTCTGAGGAAGGGGCATTTGATAACGGCTTAAATGATGATGAGGGGCCAGTCATGTGCAGATCAAGAGCGGCAGGGTGGGGGGAATAGCACGTGCAAAGGCCCTGAGGTGGGGATTTCTTTCTGGGTTCAGTGGCAGGAGGGAGACCAGTGTGGCTGGATGAGTTAGGGGGTGAGAGAGTCGTGGGAGGTGAGGAAGGCCAGGTCATGCAGGGCCATGGCAAGGAGCTGGATGTGCAATCGATATTACAAATTTGATGAAAAGGGACTTCCCTGGCGGTCCAGTGGTTAGGACTCCACGCTTTCACTGCCAGGGCCCAGGTTCAATCCCTGGTTGGGGAGCTGAGATCCTGCAAGCCACCTCACAGCCAGAAAAAGAAGAAGAAGAAGACAAAATTATAAAACAAGATTAGGTATGGGGGTCTTGGAAGGGTCCACCGTAAATGGCAGGCCTTGAAGCCCCGGCTTCACTCACTGCCCAGGGTCAATCCAAGTGCGGAAGAGAAATAGCCAGGGAGGCCTTCTTGGGTGGGTGGGGAGGGTCTCAAAAGGGAAGGCAGAGTGGATGCAGTTTCAAAGGATATAGCGTAGGATGTCAAACTCCTTAAACTGTGTTCCTAGATGATTGGCAGCTAGAGTGAGAAAGCTGAGAGGTCAGGGAGCATCTGGGGACTCTGTCCACTTGCTAAAGCACACGGAGAAAGCAGAGGCCTTTGCAGGTGGACAGGGAACAGCCTGGAACTCTTGCAAGACGAGTGGTTGGAAAAGCAGGGATGCTGGGCATAAGTGACTGCTCAACCGGGCGAGTGGGGGTGGGACACCTGGGTATTTATTCCTTTATTTGGACAAGGTAAATGTTCAAAATTCAAGAGGTACAGAAGGGTTTATAGCGTTGCCAGTTTCTGGTATCGTTTTTTAAGTATAATCTATGCATACCCAAGCAGGTACCAGGGTATATATATATATATATATTTTAACACAAACAGTAGCACATCATACCCACTGTTTTTCCTCTTGAGCTCTCCATTCTACAGGACATATTGAAGATTGTTCCATATCAGGACAAAGAGTGTCCTCGATCTTTTTGATGAACACATAATATTCTGTCATGAAGATCTACCCTAATCCATTCACCCATCCCCCACTGCTACACATTCAGCTTGTTTCCACTCTTTTGCTAAAACACTGCTTGCTACTGGGAGTATCCTTCTAGTGAGGACATTCTGCACAAGTGCAAGTATATCCCTAAGATAAATTCCTAGAAGTGGAATGGCTGAGTCAAAGGATATGTGTACACTGGTAATTTAATAGACGTTGCCGGATTACCCTCTCACCAGCGATGTGCAAGAATTTTTGTTTCCCCTCACGCCCCAACACAGTGTGTCATGCACTGTCATTAGGTAAAACTAGTATCTCAGTGCAGCTGTAGTGCGTCTGTCTCCAAATTTCCCCGTATTATATGGACACTAGTCGTACCGGATTAGGTCCTGCCCTAATATGACCTCATGTTAACGTGACCATCTGCAAAGACTCTATCTCCAGATGACGTCACACTCTGGGGTTCTAGGGGATGGTTATGACTCCAACATATCTTTTTTTTTTGGTGGTGGGTGGGGCGGAACACAATCCAACTCATAAGAGTGCCAGAGAGTTTTCCAAAGTCTCTGTACCAATTTAATAAGCCGCTAGGGGCTGGAGTATTTTAAAGCTATTCCCAGACATGATGTAATTTGCCCTGGGAGTGTTTTAAAAGGAAGACTTGGTCTGATTTACATTTTTAAACGATCCTATTTGTTCTGTGGGAATATAGGACAAGGCAAATATTTCATCAAGAAAGAAAAGGTAAATAAAGAGCAAGCCCTCCTGTGATGACCCATGTAGGATAGGATGCTCCGGCCTCCTGGATGCCCTTAGCTCAGGGCTGCACCCAGTGACCCATGCTCCATCCCTCTATGCCTTATGCCAGCCTGCCCTGTGGCGCACCCCTCGGGGCTCAGGCGATGCAGAGGGAAGAGCCGGGCCAGGACTCAGGCTGTTGTTCTGTCCACCCCCCTCCCTGTCAGGACATCCAGCAGCTCCTCCAGCTCCAGCAGCTGGTGCTTGTGCCGGGTCACCACCTCCAGCCACCTGCTCAGTTCCTGCTGCCGCAGGCCCAGCAGAGTCAGCCAGGTAAGGCCCTCACCCCGGATGGCCTCCCCAACGCCTCCACAGAACTTTCTCTGCCCCCCTCACCCTGTGCGATCCCTCTTGTCCCCCCAGGCCTGCTACCGACGCCAAATCTATTCCAGCTACCTCAGCAAACCCAGGGAGCTCTTCTGACCTCCCAGCCCCGGGCAGGGCTGCCCACACAGGTGAGTGGTCCACTGAGTGCATCAGGCTGTGGCCAGATGGCGTGGAGTGGTGGTCAGTGAGGGTCTCCTCTCCATTTGCTCCCCCCCCACCAGCCACAGGGGCCAAGATAGGAGTCAGGAGCCCTGGGGCCCAGCGCTGCTCTGCTACTAATTTGCTGTGGGACCCCAGGCAAGCCACTTTCCCTGTCTGAGTCAGCTTCCTCCTCCACGGAATGAGGGGAGTCAGCCAGACCAGTGGCTCTTAACCCTTGCAGGCACATGGACTCCTTTGAGAATCTGATGGATTATTTGAATCTGACCCCCACTGCCCCAAAATGCACGTGTGCACAAACACAAAACTTCAGGGGGTTCACAGGCCTTTAGGGCATGAATGCCTCAGATCTCTTCCAGCACTCCAAATGGGGGGCGTTCCCTGAGGGTCTGTTGGGTACTAGTTCATGTCCCCTTCCCAGACCAGAGACTGCAAACAAGGGCCCACACTCATTTAAAAATTGAGTTAGTTGTCAACAAAATTCCCGGAAAACACCAGATTCCCAGCTTCTTTTGACAAGCCAGAAGCTCTGGGAAGGCTGGATCTGCGTACACATGGCGTGAGCTCAGGCCCCCTCCTGGAAGGCGTGAGTTCTTCAGGCTGCCTTGGTGTCCTCCTGCCTGGTCCCCACGGCTTTTCTTGAAGTTTGCTGCCTGGGTTCTAAACTTTTTTTTTTTTTCTTTTTTCCTGGCCGCGCCTTGGGTCTTGAGGGATCTTAGTTCCCCAACCAGGGATCAAACTCACGCCCCCTGCAGTAGAAGTGTGGAGTCCTAACCCCGGACCACCAGGGAATTCCCACTGGGTCCTAAACTTTAATAATAATTTTTCATGATTATGGATTTTAAAGTTCCCTCCTACCTATTTTTTAAAACAGCCCTTTTAAAAAATATATGGGGGGCTTCCCTGGTGGCGCAATGGTTGAGAGTCCGCCTGCCGATGCAGGGGACACGGGTTCGTGCCCCGGTCCGGGAGGATCCCACATGCCGCGGAGCGGCTGGGCCCGTGAGCCATGGCCGCTGAGCCCGCGCGTCCGGAGCCTGTGCTCCACAACGGGAGAGGACACAACAGTGAGAGGCCCGCGTACCGCAAAAAAATAAATAAAATAAAAATTTAAAAATATATGAACTGTTTCAAAAAACCCAAAAAGTTAATTAATTAATTAATTAATTTTTGGCTGCATTGGGTCTTCACTGCTGTGCGCAAGGCTACTCTTAAGTTGCGGTGCACGGGCTTCTCATTGCGGTGGCTTCTCTTGTTGCGGAGCATGGGCTCTAGGCGCGCGGGCTTCAGTAGTCGTGGCACGTGGGCTCAGTAGTTGTGACTCACGGGCTTAGTTGCTCCACGGCATGTGGTATCTTCCCGGACCAGGGCTCGAACCTGAGTCCCCTGCATTGGCAGGCGGATTCTTAACCACTGCGCCACCAGGGAAGTCCGCAAAACCTGTCTTGGCCTGATGCCAGGCGGCATGTGACTTTTCTTTATCCCTCTTGTGTGGTACTTGTGCTTTGCTGACAGCTGTTGATATGTCCGAATATGGGGTGATGCCTTGACCCTAATGGTGGAGGTTCACATTATGTATGATATATGCCCCATGTAGGCTTTCTAAAATCTGAAAAAATTCTGAATTCCAAAACACATCTGGTCCCAGGGTTTTGGATAACGGATCAAGGACTTGTGCGTCCAACATCCCTGTACCCACCACCTACTTAGATGTTTTATTTTTAGGGAAATGAAGCATTCCAGAGAGAACTGTTGCTTCCTTGTAAATTTCCCCAGTCACCCTCCTTGTCTATTTTTAAAAATACTTTTACTTTATTTGCAGCCTACATACTTTTAACCCGATTCTCCCAACAACCCCATGGGGTAGGTAGAGTAGCCATGATTGTTCCCATTCTGCAGAGGGGGAAACTGAGGCCCAGGGAGATTAAGAAACTTGCCTGAGTTACCCAGCAATTCGGTAGCAGAGCTGATCCTTGATTCCCTGCCTGAGAGGAGGCTAAAACCACCAACCCCTCCCCCAGCTTCAGGGAAAGAGCCTTTGGTGAAAGGAGATGGCTGCTCCTTATGAAGCCTGCAGACTGGGAGGAATGTGCAGAGAGTTTCAGGCAGTGAGCGGGCCCTTGTGGGGCAGCAGAATGTCACCTTGATTGGCAATGAGTGTGGAGGGGCCACCTGGGGGTGGGTGGAGGGGAGCCTGCAGGAAGAGGCTGGACGGCAGGGAGGGAGGGAGGGGGGACTGCGCAGCCAATGCTGAGCCCCGTCCTGGTCCTCGGTCCTGCATCCCACCCACCTGCCCACCCCACCAGGCCGTGACCCGCCCCACGCTGCCCGACCCGCACCTCTCGCACCCGCAGCCCCCCAAATGCTTGGAGCCACCATCCCATCCAGAGGAGCCCAGTGACCTGGAGGAGCTGGAGCAGTTCGCTCGCACCTTCAAGCAACGCCGCATTAAGCTGGGCTTCACGCAGGTCTGGGGCCACCCGGCAGGACAGGCGGTGGGCGTGGGGTGACAGGGCGGTGTGACCAGCTGGTGGCCGGGGTGTTGGGCCCTAGTCATCTAGTGGGCGGGGTAGAGAGCGTAGCCATATGGTAGGCGGGGTGAGGGGCGTGACCGGCAGGTGGGCAGGGGAGGGAGCGTAGCTGCCTAGTGGGCGGGGTGAAGGGGGGCATAGTCACCTGGTGGGCGGGGTGGGGGTGTGGCCAGATGGTGGGCGGGGCTGAGCCCTTTGCCCGGCTCTGAACGCAGCCCAATCCCTGCCCCACTGGCCCAGGGTGACGTGGGTCTGGCCATGGGCAAGCTCTACGGCAACGACTTCAGCCAGACGACCATCTCCCGCTTCGAGGCCCTCAACCTGAGCTTCAAGAACATGTGCAAACTCAAGCCTCTCCTGGAGAAGTGGCTCAACGACGCAGGTGGGACTTGGGCTGGGGGCTCCCGGGCGGGCTGCGGGCGGCGGGCCGGGGGAAGCGCCCTCTCATGACCCCGTCTCCTCCCGGACACAGAGACTATGTCTGTGGACTCAAGCCTGCCCAGTCCCAACCAGCTGAGCAGTCCCAGCCTGGGTTTCGACGGGCTCCCCGGCCGGAGACGCAAGAAGAGGACCAGCATCGAGACAAACGTCCGCTTCGCCTTAGAGAAGAGTTTTCTAGCGGTGAGGCCCCACCCTCCCGGGCGGCCCCGACGGCGGGCGGGAGGAGGGGCCCCGGGCTAACGAGCCCTCTGCCCGCAGAACCAGAAGCCTACCTCAGAGGAGATCCTGCTGATCGCAGAGCAGCTGCACATGGAGAAGGAGGTGATCCGCGTCTGGTTCTGCAACCGGCGCCAGAAGGAAAAACGCATCAACCCCTGCAGCGCGGCCCCCATGCTGCCCAGCCCGGGCAAGCCGGCCAGCTACAGCCCCCATCTGGTACCAAGAGCCCCTCGAGGGGGGGGGCCACAAAGCTCTGGCACACCCTCGCCCCCTGGCAGGCACCTCGTGTGAAGCACAACCTACCCGGTTGGCCACAGTTCCTAGAACAGAGGCAGGGAGAGTCACCCTTGGGAACAGGCTGTCACAGGGGTGGGGCACAGTCACACAGAGAAACACCGTTTCCAGGGAACTGTGGTCTTACATGGGGGATACAAGCACCCACCGACACACGCTGACGTAGCCAAACACAGAGTTATCACAGGATGTAGCCACACAGGGATGGACACTAGGTAAAGGATACAGGCATCCCCCCTCACACAGGTTCACGACCACACAGACGCTGGCAGGGAGATCATTATACCCCTGGGTGTGCACTCAGGTCCACAGCCTGCTCGAGATCAGACACACTGGGACATCCCTTTATTCCATCTAGTGTGGAAAGGGTTGTGACACTACAGAGAGCAGCAAGGAGCCCAGAGGAGCCCCCTTCCCCAATGACGTAAAGGGAGGGATCATCTAAGCTGAGTCATAAGGACAAGAGAGAGTTAGTCACGTGAAGGACAGGCAAAGGGATCTATGTGCATGAAGGCCTAGAAGCCAGAGTGCCGAGCCCAATTTGAGGAACTCCAGTGCGGTTTAGAGCTGGAATGATTATTTATGAATGAGTATGGGGGTAGGGTGGGGGATGGGCAGGGGCCAGACACCAAGTCAAATGCTGAAGGAGCTTGAACTTGAACCGTAGGCAGTGAGGCGCTAAGGATGAGTTTTGAGCCCGGGAGGGACTGGGTCACACTTAGAGTGAGGCTTCTGGGGTTGATGGAGGATGAGACTGGAGGCAGGGAGGCTAAGAAGGAGGCTGGTGGGTGGTCCCAGAAAATCAAGCAGTATAACGTATCAACACTGTGATGCAGAGACACACCTTATCCTCATAACCCACCCCACCCCCTAGCCTCACAAGCACGTGTGCTTGCGCGCTCTCACATATACACACACACATACTTCAGACCTGCAACTGGACAGTGTCAGAGGAGAGGCAGGGAACGACTGCCTCCTGTCTGTGACCCGGGATCACCTAGGGTAAACGTGACGAAAGCTGATGGAAAGCGCTTGGCATGATACAAACAGCCTTGCAGCCAGAGCCCCCTTTCTCCGTCTTGGAGGCAGAGGTGCGGGGGTTGTAACCACAGCGAGCACCATGGGAGCTGCGGGAAGACAGTGGCCTAACCATGCCTTCTTTCCTCTCTCCCCAGGTCACGCCCCAAGGGGGCGCCGGGACCCTGCCGTTGTCCCAAGCTTCCAGCAGTCTGAGCACAACAGGTCAGGGAGGGTAGAGGATGGTGAGGGGGATGGGAAGAACACAGCGCAGGCCCGAGCGCAAGGTTCTCAAGCGGTTCAGGGCACCCCTAGGCCTCAAGGCTGAGCCTGGAGGTCGGGGGGGCGGGGCGGGGAAGGGGAGAGGGCAGCCTCACCCCTCCGTGCCAGAGCAGCTCAGGCTTCATCTTCTCCACGATTTCATGTGAGAAAAGCACGGGGTTGATAAAGGTGATGTATTTGGGTTCTCTTTCTGGCATTTATGAACTGTGTGAACTCCAGAAGTGACCTTACTTCTCTGAGCCTCAGTTATAAAATTATTGTGAATATAACATACATACAGAAGCTATATCCATGAATATATACACAGAAGAGTGTGTACGTGTGTGTGTGTGTGTACACACACACACACACACACACTCACACACACTTTTGTACCCAAAGCCCTCCTTTGCCCCTTCCTGGGGTAGGGCATGTATAACACCATATGTAAGAATAATATAAAAACAGACGCCACATTTCCCCTCCCCAGGTTAAGAAATAATAAGTGGAAGTTTATAAAGTAATAAGGGTGTGCCTGGCACTGGTCTAAACTCTTTATAAAGAATATTGACCCACTTAATCTTCACACCCATTTTATAAGATAGGTTCCATTATCTGCCCCATTTTCCAGATGAGGGAACTGAAGGTCAGAGAGATGAAGGTGCTCACCTGAAGGCGCAGCTGGGACGTCACAGGGCCGGGAATTGCTGTCCCGGGTGTCTGGTCTCAGTCTGGGCTCAGAGCCCTCTCAGCCTCAGTGTGCACGGCCACACGCCCGTGCCTGGCCTCTAGAGGGAGCCATAGGGCTCTGTCTTCTGGGAACCCTTGGTTCTTTGTACAGAGGGGCCCGGAGGGGAGATTCAGGGCTGGATAAGCAGGGTGTGAGCACGCTCCTGGCATAGGGCACAGGCTCGGTGGGAGGCAGCTGCTCTTACTGCGATTACTGTCACCGTGGCAAAGGCACAAAGAAATGGCTGTGAGAAGAAAGGGCAGGAGGCCTAAGCGTGTTCTGACTGAGGAGATGCCGCGGGACGGGGCGGGGAAGACAGCAGGCGTCGACCTCAGTGGAGGACGAGTGGAAGCTGAAGTCTCCATCTCTCTGTCTCTCTCTGGCAGTTACTACCTTATCCTCAGCTGTGGGGACCCTCCACCCCAGCCGGACAGCTGGAGGGGGTGGGGCCGGGGGCGGGGCCGCGCCCTCCCTCAATTCCATCCCCTCTGTCACTCCCCCACCCCCGGCCACCACCAACAGCACAAATCCCAGCCCTCAAGGCAGCCACTCGGCTATCGGCTTGTCGGGCCTGAACCCCGGCACGGGGTAAGTGGGCAGCTGCAGGTAGGAGGCTGTGGGGAGAAGCAGGGCCGCTGCTGCTTCCAGGGTGGGGAGCTGCGCCCCCAGTTCTGTGGGAGGGTCTCTGCCCCCCGCTAATGCCTCTGCTTTGCCTCTTGCAGAAGCACAATGGTGGGGTTGAGCTCCGGGCTGAGTCCAGCCCTCATGAGCAACAACCCTTTGGCCACTATCCAAGGTGCGTGCTGCCGCATGTCACTCCCATCGCCACCAGCCCTGTCCCCCAGGGCCTCGAGCCCCCATCCCATTCCTGCTCCAGCCATGCCATCCTGCCCCTGCACACTGCATCGCTCGCCTCTTCATACCCATCTCACCTTTGGGGAAGGTGTGAGGGGTGCTGATGGGGGTCCATGGGTCAGACGGGAAGATGGGGCACTGCGGGTGGGACGCTGGAAGGCGCCCCCAGCCCAGCCTCTCTCTCTCCCCGCCAGCCCTGGCCTCTGGTGGAACCCTGCCCCTTACCAGCCTTGACAGCAGCGGGAACCTGGTGCTGGGGGCGGCTGGCGCGGCCCCAGGGAGTCCGGGCCTGGTGACCTCGTCACTCTTCTTGAACCACGCCGGGCTGCCCCTGCTCAGCGCCCCACCTGGTGTGGGCCTGGTCTCGGCAGCCGCGGCGGCCGTGGCGGCCTCCATCTCCAGCAAGTCTCCTGGCCTCTCCTCGTCCTCGTCCTCGTCCTCGTCGTCCTCCTCCACTTGCAGTGAGGCGGCAGCACAGACCCCTGGAGGCCCAGGGGGGCCCGAGGTAGGGTCCAAGCCTGAGTGAGGGCCCGCCACGCCTCCCCTCCTCCTCCTCTGACCCCCGCCTCCGTCCCCCACCTGGGAAGAGGGCGAGGAGGCCATTGGTGGGGATGCAGAGGGTCCTCGGAGCAGGAGTGACGAGGGAGGAAAGACCAAAAAACAAGAAACAAAAAAACAACCAACCAAAAAGAAAGAAAAGAAAGAAAGAAAGGAAACCAACCAACAGAAAAAAGAAAACCAAAAATAATCACGAAGAAACCAGCTGCCCCAAAGGAACAAGAGGTGAAAAACAAACATTAAAAAAAAAAAAAAGAAAACCAAAAACAAACAAAAAATCCCTCACCAAACCGAACAAACCAAAAACCAGTCTCGAGCCAGACCTCAGCGTGCTCACCCTCACTGCTACGACACCAAATAAGAAGCCCAGCCAGGGGCGGAGAAGCCTCGGCAGGGCGGACACGCGGGCCCCCGGCTGCGGGGCGAAGCCTCCCGCTGCGTGCGGCGTGGGCAGAGAAGGAAAAAGAGAATGTGCCAGCCTCCCAGCCGCAGCCCCCAGTCCTGGGCCAGCCAAGGCAGGGAGGGCACAGCCTGGGGCTGATGGGGTGGGCTCAGAACCACCCGCCAAATATTCCTTTCCAGAAGGTGAAAGAGAAAGGGCCTGAACAACTTTACACCAAATATTCAGTAGCTTCATCCAAAGGATGTACAGAATTTTTAGCGTTGTGCTCAACAGAATGTGTCCCTGTCATGCGTCCCCCCTCTCCCCTGGCCCCCAGCTCTCCCTGCCTGGGCAGGGGGGGGGTCTCGCTTTAACCTCCTCCCTCCCCCAGCCAGGGGAGAGTTCAGGGGAAGGCCTGGGCTGACTTTTCACCCCTTGTACCTCCCCCTTTTTCCCTTTGAAGGGTGGGCTAGGCCGTTTTGCCAAGTTCTAGCTCTCACATGTCCCCCGTCAACCCTGTCACCCTCCTCTGCTCTGGAATCTCCCCCCATCCCTAGTCCGAGGGAAGGTGGAAGCTTCAGGCAAGAGAGGATGAGGTGAGGGCTTTCAAGTTGTCTTTTTTTCTATCCTCGTCTGTCAGTTTCCCTGAAAAAAAAAAAAAATTCATATTCCAGTGCCTATCCGTGGGATCCTTCACGTTCTTTGACATTGACCAGAAACCAAAAAGATAACTCACCTCGCTCTTCCCACCCTGTGCCCCTCCGATACTGGCAGATGCCTCTTCCTCTCCCCTCACACACATGCACACACGCACGCACCCCAGTGGTGGGGTTCCTCGAGGTGGCGTCCCCATCAGGGTCCGTGTGGCGGGGACAGTGCCGTGACCTGTGGCCCCCATCCGAGAGGGCGCTGTGGTGGCCACCACTCCCACAAGACCTCCCTCAAGTCTCGGCTGGACCCTGTGTTTGCCCAGCGCTGGACCCATCTCGACGGACAGAGGAGAGACGCTGCTGGGAGCCACGTTGCCCTCCTGCTGTTGTGGAGGCCAACAAAGTTCTGAACCAAAAAAACAAAAACAAAAAACCAAACAATAAATTAAAACTAGAAAAAAAAAAAGAATTTATAGATATATATATATTTAAGGGAAAGAAGACGAGGACTCTTCAAAGGATACGAAGGAGCCGCGAGGGGGAGCCAAGCCCCTGCACCAGTGGTCCAGGCCCTTGGTCCCCGAGGCGGATGGAAGGACGGATGCTTCTTTCTCTTCACAAATACCTCATGGACGTCGTCTTCGGGAAAGCCGGACGGGGGCGGCTGGGGCAGGGCCTGTCCCTCAGCCAGGGCGGATGGAAGCGGGTGGGCAGGGCTGAGAGAGGGTGTCAGGGACAGGGGTGAAGAGCCCCGAGCTCCCCGCCCCCCCAATCAACTGAAAAAGCTTTAAAAAAAAAAACAAAACAGGAAAAAGAATAAGAAAGCAAAAAAGAATGGACGAAGGAAAACTAACAAACTTTCGGGTGGTTTGATTCCTCCTTTGAGTTCTTCTTCTGTTCTCTTGGTCTGTCTCTCCCTCTTCCTTCCCTCCGCTTTCACCTCTCTTAATCTCCTTCTTTCTGTGTCTCTCCTCAAACCAAAGTGTTGCTGTGAAGGACGCGAGCCATTGAAATCAGAGTGGCCCCCGCCCCTCGCCGGGCAGGAGCAGAGGGAGGGGAGAGCCCCGGGAGATGGGCAGTGCCGTCGGACACTACCGAGGAGAGGCAGACAGAGCCTCGGACACCACCCCAGGCCCCGAGGCCTCAGCGTTCTCTCTCTTTCTTGCCTCCTTTCTCCCACTCGGGAAATGAAACTGTTGGGCTGGGACATGGAGGCAGCAGAGGCTCAGCTGTTTCAGGGGTCTCGGGGTGCCTTGTCTGGGCAGTGGTGGAGTGGCTGCCCCTCCCACCCTGGCACCGATGGGGCCTGGCCTGCCGTCGACCCATCCTCGCCAGAATGTAAGCATCTCCGCTGAACCGGCTCCCTGCCCTTACCCTACCTCTGACTTTGTCCTTTTTTATTTCCTGAAGAGAAGGGACTGGCTAGAGGGCCTGGGCCCCAGCCCAAGGGTGGAGAGGGGGCCAAGGGCTCCTGAACAGATAGGAAGGACATTTGAGCAGAGCCAAGTGAAAGGAATTACAACCAAAAACCCCTCTGAGAAGACAGGCAGCATGGAAGGCATGGTGGAGATGACTCAAACAAAAACTATGATTCTAGACCAAAAAAAAGGAAAAAAAGAAAAAAAAAAAAAAAGAAAAAAAAAAAGAAAAAAAAAAAAGGAAAGAAAATCCAGGACTCACCACCACCCACTTCATCCTGCTTCCTCTCCATCAAGTCCTGCCACCTGGGACCTTCCTCCACCCCAGTGTGGGAGGAGCGGGGCAGAGGGGAGAGGAGGAAGCAGGGGGCAGGGATGGGGCTGATGCCCTGACATTGGTGGAGGGACCCCTGTGCAGCCGGGGTGGTGGGGACCCTCCCCGTCCGACCCCCATAACTGGGAAAAGAAAAACAAGAAAAAAAGAAAATTCCTGGAAGGGGGAAAAATAACCAAATCCCAAGCTTTAACTACAGCTGTGAAACCAAATATTGGGAAGGGGGTGGGAGGGAGGGAGGGGCAAGTGCGCCCCAGGTCTCCCCCCTGGGCCCCCTCCCCCGAGGACTCGAGATAAGGCACCAAATACCTCATAGAACTTTAATGTTAAAAAATGGAAACCAAATATCGTTGGCTGGGGGCCAGCCAGGGCAAGGGGCCGGGGGCCTGAGGGAGCCAGGGTTGGGAAGGTGATGGGGGAATTCATGCCCCCAACCCCCTCTGCCCCTTTCACTCCAGTCCCCCACCCCGTCTCGACTCCGGGAAACAAAACTATCTCATCGTTTTTATTTTGTGGTCTGTACAGAGCCTGTGTCCGTGTGTCTGTGTGCGAGCGAGAGAGTTGGGGGGCTGGGGAACTTTACGTGGGGTTGGGGAAGGAGACCCCAGGCTGGGTTCTGGGCTAGGTGAGATGTCTGAGGTGGGGGGCCAGGGGCCTGGGCTAGAAAGGACGATGAATGGGTTGGAGAAAGTGGAAGCCCTCTGAATTTCTCCTCCCCAACCCTGACCTCCTACTGGAGGGAGGGACAGAGACTGGGTCTACCTAATGGTGGGCCTTTTAATTGTGCCAAAAAAAAAAAAAAAAAAAATGCCAGTAACTAAAACACCTCTCTCTGTTCTCTTCTGGGAGGGTGGGGGTGGAAGTGGGAGGGAGGGCTGGGGGAGGGTAAGTAGGGGTCAGTGGAGATGAGGAACCCAAGCCTCCGTATGGATTGGGGCTAAGATCAGAAGGGGTAGTAAGGCTGTGAGTTTCCCGCACATCTCCTCCCTGGGGAAGGCCAAGAGAGGGTCTCCAAGCCCTGCACCCTGGGAAGATGGGGTAAGGGACTAGCCACGTAGTGGGGGACCTCTTGAACTGGCTAGATTTCCCCCCCTACCCAAATCCCAGGGTGCCTCTCTCTCCCTTTAGCCCAGGGTAGGGGGAACTGAGTGAGAGAGAGAGTGAGACAGACTGAGCAAGATTGAGACACGCGGGCCCCCACTGGCCTCTGAGTGGGAAAGGCAAGTGCGAGAGATAAAGGCCTCCAAGAGAAAAAAGAAACAAACCAAAGATTTAACCATTAAAAAAAAAAAAAAACCCACAGACAACTCCGCTACCTTTTTATATGTTGGAAAAAAAAGTGAAAAAAATTAAAAAATAAAAATTAAAAAAAATACACAAAAACTCCAAGCCGCAGTTCCTTCATGCGGTTTGAACTTTGACCTCAGCAGTCTCCAAAGCAAGATGACGATGAGAAAGGTGAACAAGAAAAAGAAAAAATAATGTATATTTTTAAGTATTTGTCCTTGAGATGTTAACTCCTTGTTAAACAAACACAAAAAGGAGAGAAAAATCCAGAGAGAATTGTTGCTGGGACGGAGACAACTATTTACTATGTCTGTGACCCCTCCCCTCTGCCTCACCGTCCTCTCCTCTTCCCTTTCCTCTATCCCTGCTGCCCCTCCCCCAGCCTGTCCCCCAAGCCCAGGGGCTCAGTATTTATTTATTTATATAATTGCAGGGTGACTGGGGTCCTCTCTCGACAACTTGTAGAGAGGTCCTTTGAATCATGGTAGGGTGGGGAAGGGGCAAGGAGTCTTTGGGGAAAAGCAGGGGCCTGATCTTTGGTCAGTTCCTCTCTGCTAGCTCCTTTCTGGCTTCTTATCCCACTGCTGCCACCATCTCCTCCCAAATCCAAGGCTGCACTAGGGCAAGGTGACGATCCCACCTTGTAAAGATCCGATTGGCTTGGCCCTTTTTGGGGTGGGTGTCTCTCACCTACTCATTTGAAAGACCAGGTTGGAATGGGGATGGGAAGAGGTGGCAAGTAGTGAGTAAGGGAGACCAAGAAGTGGCATCTGGAAATTGAGTAGGCCCTGGAGGAGACCTGCCTCTCCTCCATTCTCAACAAGTTAGCCCCCCTTTCAGTTCTGTTTGACCCCTGTGTTGGTAGCCCCTCCCTTCCCATCCTGTAGCCCCTCCCTGTCTTCTCGTGGTAGCGGGTTAGCGTTTCAGTGTTCTCAGCTCCAATCTGCTTGTTCATTGTACAATGTGCTTCTTTTAAGGCCCCATTTTTGTAACTTGAGTGTGTCATTCATCTGAACAACATCAAAAAATAAAAAATTAAAAACTGTACAGAGAGAAATACAGCCTCTTCTCCCTTGGTCTCCTCTCTGTCTTGGGAAAGGTGGCGGGGAAATCAGGGTATGGGGTGGGTGTGTGCGTGCTGTGGAGGGGAGGGCTTTACTTCTGTTCAGGGAATGTTCAGAAGTAAGACCTGAGCAATTTTTTTTTCACCAATTAAAAAAACAAGCCTCGGGGCTTCCCTGGTGGTGCAGTGGTTACGAATCCGCCTGCCAATGCAGGGGACACATGTTCGAGCCCTGGTCTGGGAAGATCCCACATGCCGCGGAGAAACTAAGCCCATGCGCCACAACTACTGAGCCTCCGCTCTAGAGCCCGTGAGCCACAACTACTGAGCCTGTGCTCTAGAGCCCATGCTCTGCAGCAAGAGAAGCCACCACAATGAGAAGCCCGCGCACCACAACGAAGAGTAGCCCCTGCTCTCCGCAACTAGAGAAAGCCTGCACACAGCAATGAAGACCCAATGCAGCCAAAAAAAAAAGAAAAGAAAAAAACAAGCCTTGGAACTTAGAACGAATTCAAATTCCTGAATTTAAATCTCAGTTCTGCCATTTTATATGACCTTCAACATGTGAACTTGTGTCCACATCTGTAACACAGAGACAATATGTAGCCTGTGGGGTTGTAAGAATTAAATGAGATGGTGTAGGTGCTTAGGACAGATCTCCGGCACGCTGGCTTCAATAAATGAGAACTATGAGAAATGCAGGAAACAAGTGAGTAGTTCCCTACCTCCATCCACAGAGGACTAACAAGACCCTTTACAAAGAGTTGACTTTGAAGTTGTCTGGTGGTACAAGATACACACCTGACTTCTTTTTCAGAACATTAGGTCTCTCGTTCACTCAAATTTTTGTGCTCATCTCGACTAAGTCATTTGGCAGGAACAACCGTTCCACAGGCCAGACCACGGGCTGATCCCCAGGACCTCACTGCTGAAAATCTGAAATGGTGTCAATAACTGTGTTTTCTCACTGCCGTCAGGTCTTCTTGTCACTGTTCCATGCTCTAACGTATGCCTGGCACACAGGTGCTGGGATTCTGCAAATTCAATAGTGAGGGATAGGGGAACAGGAGAAAGGAAACAAGTAGGAGAGGGTTTGATCATTTGGAAAGAGAAAATATATTAGTACTGCACCGTTTTGGCAAGAGAGAAAAAAAAAAAAGTACTTCTCCAACTCTCAAGCCAAGTCAGTAGGGATGGGGCAGTGGGATGTTGGGCTGGAGGTTCAGAGTAGTACCCCGAGGAAGGTCATTTGTTCCAGCCCCCTGACTGTAGGGGGTGCAGTCAGAACCATACAGACCCAAAAGGTCTTTGGCACCCAGGCCAGCCTGTGACAAGCACAGATGCCACACCTGAGAGCACTCTGGAGCTGAACTAGGCATCCACCTGTAGCCTCGTAAACGTGCTCAACTGCTCTACGTGGTCTCCCCGTACAGTCATACTTGGGCCTCATATCGTCAAGAACATATTGTCACTAGAGGACCACTGTTCTGTCCCCTTGACAGTTCTGCTTAAGCAGCTTCCACATCCAACTAAAACCAAGCAATGCAAGGTTATTTTTAGTGGGGTCTGCAAGTCACCTGCATCCGAATTGGTGTGTTCAAAACACAGATGCCTAGGTCTCACCAAGACATGCTTGCTGGATCCAAATCTCTGGGGAAATTGCCTAACACACATTAAAGTTCAAGAACCTTTGCCTGTCCAATGCAAATCCCAGCATCCAAGAAGGGTTTGATTAGTGCGATCTTTTTTAGGAGAGTGGTCCAACTGAGGACCACGGAAGTTTCAGTAGGGTGACGGTGAACAATGGCTTGTTCATAAACATGTTTGCACACATAAACTTTTCTCAGGGTGGGAGTCTAAAGTTTTCATTAGAGGCTCTTAAAGGAACCACAATAGAGGAAGGGTGATCCCCTCCACTGTCACCCAGCTGCTTCTCTGCTGAAAGCATCTTTATCTTGGGGTCAACCAGGGTTGACCCTCAGGGTTTTTTCCTCCATTCCTGTCCCTTGATTCAGCCTGATTTTTATCTGGTTTTGCAAGATAAATCCTCCAATTGTTCTAAGCATTTATTTGATATGACTTTCTGGATGTTTCAGCTCTTCCTGAAAGGAGGCAGTCTGAGAATGAATCTTCACCTGTGGATTAAGGGGCTCTGGCATGCTGGGCTAAGATGGCTCGAGTCCTTTCTGCAGGGTATGAGGTTACTGAAAGATGGTGCCCACGATCAACACACTCTGGTCGAAAACAACTGCTTAACATATTAAGTGCTCTACTTCATTAGGAGCTGTCGAGATATCAAAAGGCTGAGTGCTTTACCTTTTTAAAAATGAAGAGAAGCATAAACTCCAGTGCCCACAGAGGGCTACAGGATTGCTGAAGGGAGTCGAGAGTAATGGAGAGGCTGAGTGGGCAGCTCTCAGGCCTCCCTTTCCCCTCGTTTCAATGCAAACAGCTTCCCTTTACCTCTCATTTACTAGGGTTCCGATAAGAATTCTAACAAAAAGACTACAGTAACCTTGGGGGGGCGGTTATTTTTCTTGGAGTGGGGTTCTTAAGAGAAAAGACTAGCATAGGAGCCGAGCATTTCCACCAGTCACACATTCACCATCTCCTCTCTCCACTGCCCTCCCCCAAGTATGGAGAAGGCAGAAGAGTGTAGAGGAATGCGTATAGGTGATTAAACCAAATCAAACTACACTGAAATTCAAGCTCTGCCCTATCTGGTTTGAATGACCTTGGGCAAGTCACTTCACCGCTTTTGACTTCAGATTCCTTTCCTACAAAACGTTCTCTTCACGGGATCAGTGTGAAGATCATTCCCAGAAATGTAGGAAAATACTTGAGACAAATTGGGCATTCAAACATCAGTCAGCTACCCCAACCACCCCTCTCCCCACAACCAACATCCGTGGGCTGAGCCAGAGGCCAACTCCAGGTGGGTGTCAGAGCACCTCCCCTTGTGAGGCTTCCTACCCCCAGAGGCTGTTACTCAGAATCTTCTCCAATCCCACAGCTGGATCTTGTCCCAGAAGCCACCTCCTCTACTGCCCCGGAGATCGTGCCCTTCCGAGACCTGCATTCGCCTTCAGGGATGCATAGTGAGAAAATCAGATGGCCTTGGAGGAGACGGCTCACATCAGGCCAGAGAGAAGGGGACAGGGGTGGTGAGAACCTAAAGATTTTCCTAAATGTTCCTGCCACCAGCAGAAACAGCTTCAGGCTTTTCTATGGGGCTGTGGGGACCTCTAGTGGCAAGAGAACCATGCTGGCCCCATCTACTACCACAGCGAAGTCCCTGCTCCCTGAAAGCCATGCCCATGGACTCTAGGTCCTCCTTAGTTTCCGTTTACTGAGCTCCACTACTTGCCAGGCCCTGTTCTAGGCACTGGGAATGCAGCCATGAAAAGTCAGACCCAAGAACCTGGGGCTCACAGCTCCCAAATTCCACCACCCCACACGGCCAGGCCAGACAAAAGCACATAAATGTCCAACTCAGTCTTTATTGACCATTTCACCTTGGGGCCAACAGGTGTGTGTGTGGGCGGGGGCACCTTATCCACGTCAAGGACCCTAGAGCACCCCCCTCAGAAGAATAAATCCAGTTACAGAACTTACATGGCAGTTGAGAGGGGTGGAAAAGGGGCACAGTATGTACAGAGACTTAAGGGGATGGTAGAGAAAGTTCTTCAGCAAGAGGGCATGGTGGTGCTGAAGAGGGACATGAGGCAGGGTCAGCCACTGATCTGGACCCCCTCAGCCTCAGCCAGAGGGTAGATCTCAATGGCCTCCACCAGGGGCAGGGCTTCCACTGCAGTCTCCATCACAGCCAGGCCGACCGCAGCCTCTGCCTCTGCCAGCTGCTGCCGCACAGCTGCCTGATGCTGCTGCTGGTGGGTCTTGCGGTGCTTCCATAGGTTGGAGAAGGAGCGGTAGCTCTTGCCACAATCGGGGCAGGAGTAGGGCCGCTCACCCGTGTGAATGCGGCGATGTTCTGCCAGGCGCATGGAGATGGCAAAGGCTTTACCACACACTTCACAGGCGAACGGCCGCTCACCTGTGTGCAGGCGGCGGTGGTCCTTCAGGTGGGTACTCTGACGGAAGGCCTTGCCACAGTCTGGACACGGGTATGGCCGCTCGCCTGTGTGGATGCGCCGGTGTACCTGCAGTGACGTTTCCGTGCTGAACAGCTTCTTGCACTCGCTGCACTCCAGGCCACGGCGTCGGGCAGGGGCCGCAGGGGCTGCAGGTGCCATGCCTCCAAGGGTCGTTGGGGAGGCCACTGGTGTGCGAGCAGCCCGTGGGGCCCGAGGGGCTGGAGGCTCCTTAGCCAGGACCTCCCCAGGCCCAGCAGCTGCGTGGGCTGCCTCGTGGGCCTGCAGCCGAGCAGCTGAGCCCACTTTCTTGCCACAGGTGCCACACTCGAAGCGCCGCGGGGCCTGGGCAGCGGCAGCTGCACAGCGGTGCTCATGCAGCCGCAGCGAGGAAGGGAAGGCAGCACCACAGGACGAGCAGCGGTGGGGCTGGCGCCCGGCATGGGCCACAAGCTGGTGAACCTCCAGCAGCCGTCGCAGCAAGAAGGAGCGGGGGCACTCGCGACACTTGTAGGGGTACTCGCCCGTGTGGTGGTAGCGGTGCATGAGCAGGCGGTAGGGGCGGTGAAAACGCACTCCGCACTCCTGGCAGCGGTAGGGGAAGTGCTGGGCATGCACCAGGCGGTGCTGCCTCAGGGTGGAGCTCTGTGTGAAAGCCTTGCCGCAGTCCCCACACCGGTAGGGCCGCTCCCCTGTGTGTGTGAGCCGGTGGCGGGCCAGGTTGGCGGGTGAGTTGAAGGGCTTGGAGCAGTCTGGGCAGGGGAAGGGCCGTTCACCTGTGTGTGTGCGCAGGTGGTTACGCACGTGAGACTTCTTCTTGAACATCTTGCCGCAGATGCTACACTTATGGCGCCGTTCCAGCCGGTGCACAAAACGCTGGTGCCGTGTCAGTTGCAACGCCTTGCCGAATTCACGGCTGCACAGGAGGCAGCGGTAGGTGCCTGGGGCAGCAGGCCCTGCTGGGCTCTCCTCAGCAGCGGGGGGCTCCGGGGCCTCTGGCTCTCCAGTCTCTGCTGGGGCTGGCTCAGGGACGCCAATGACAGGCTCCTCCGGTGGGACTGGTGTTGTGGGCAGAGGGACACCCCCAACCCCATGGGTACGCCGGTGATAAAGGAACTTGGTGAGGTTGACAAAGGTCTTTCCACATGGACACGAATGCAGAGGATTTGGGGTGTGGGCTCGCCGGTGGGCCAGGAGGAGGGCCTCTGTACCAAAGGCCAGGCCACAGTCCACACACAGGAAATGAGACTCGCTGCTGTGGTCTCCGAGGTGCTGGTCCAGACTGGAAGGGCTGGGGAAGACACGACTGCACAGGGGGCACTTAAAGACACCCTCCCGGTGACTCCGCAGGTGCTGCTGCAGCTGGTGAGGTGAGAGAAAGAGCTGGTCACAGGCTGAGCAGAAGAGCTCCTGGGTGGCTGCCCCGCCTGGCTCTCCACTGTTGTTCCTCCGTGCCCTGCGCCCCCGGCGATCGCGTCCAATGGCTTCACCGTTGCGCAGCTCATAACTGTGGTCAGAGGATGGCAGGGGGTCAGGCTGAGACACAGGCACCTCTGCAGGTGATGGGGTCAGAGTCTCCTGCTGCAAGGCAGGCTCCTCAGACTCTGGGGCGGGAGCCGGGAAGTGGGTGGCCTGATGCTCCAGGAAGTCGCCTGGCAGCTGGAAGAGCTGCGAGCACTCAGAACACTTGTAGAGGAGCAGCTCCACCTCAGTCACCACTTCGGTGGTGGCAGCGGCAGAGGGGACAGCTGCCCCTTCCCCACCCTCTTCCGCCTTGCGGTATGAGTGCTCCACAGCCACGCGGGCCTGGCCCACGGGGGACCCCAGGACAACTGGGGACCCCAGGACAACTGGAGCCGGAGGCTTGGTGGGAGTGGCCCTGAGGTGCGTCTGCCGGTGGTTCAGCCAGAGCTCCTGGCTGGCGAAGAGAGCCTTGCAATCCACACACTCATAGTGGATGGTACTGGCGCTCAGGGGGGGCGCCTTGGGTGGTGGCTCAGCTGGCGCTGCCTCCTGGGGCGCCACCATCTTCAGGTGCAGCTCCTGGTGTTCCAGAAGCTGGCTGGGCGACATCAGCAGCTGCCCACACTCCAGGCACTGGTACTGGCTCTCCTGCACTAGGGTCTGATAGAGGCCCGTGCCAGAAGCTGCCTCTGTGGCCACAGTGACTCCAGGGTCGGCCACACCCACCAGCTCAAAGTGCTGCTGGGGCACGTGGGAGTTCTGATGCATGAGCACCTCCTCCAGGGATCCATACAGCTGGTTGCACTCAGAGCAGACATAGCGGTGCTCAATGTATAGGACTGTTTCCTCTGACTCCTCAGTCATGACGGCGGCAAGACCCTGGGCTGGGAGAAGTGGGGACAAATTGTATCTAAGCCACTGCTTCCTCAGTCCTTCCCAGGGAAAATTCTTTTCCTTTATCATTTCCCTACCAAAATCCTAGATCAATTTCCCCACCTAACTTCTTGCTTCCATATTTCCACTCCCTAACAATCCTTCCTCTCCTGAACACACAAGAGCACCAAGCACAAAGCCTTCCCCGCAGTCCGTTCCCAGTGAATCTGCCCAAATCTCACCTCTGCATCAACTAGCATTAAACTCCACCTACCAGATCCTTGCAACCTGTCCAATCTCTCATTCTCATGCCTCACAGCTGGCCCAAAGCCCCAACCCATCACACAGGACCCTCTCCAGTCAGATTTCCTTCCACTGACTCTTCTTACCAACATACTACCCCATCCCTACCCCCAACTGCCGGGGAGAGTCCTCACACAGGCCCAAACCACCCACTGTTCAGAGCTTCACTCCTCCTCTGCTCCCACCCCCAGGTTCTCTATCTCTTTTTACACCCTGACCACTCAAACTGCCCCAGGGCCCTGCCACTTTCGGCACCCTCTCATGGTGCAACCCTCCTCCTTTGTACACAGCTTGTCACCCGCTAACTTTCTCCCTTTGGTGCCCAGGTCCTCACATCAATAAACTTTTCTCACATTGGCCTAACCCATCTCCACACGCAGACCTTTTCCAAACCTTAACCACTTCCCCGTGATCCCCAGATCCCCCTCTTCAAATTATTTAACTCCCTCTACAAATCAAGGCCCTCTCCCACAACCCTAAGGGCCTATCCAGGACACCCAAACCCATCTTCACAAAAGCCTAATCCTTTCTTCACATTCAGACCCTTCCCACCACCCTAACTCATGTTTCCAGGGCACCCAGACACCCTTCACATTAATCACCTACCTCTTCTGTGCACTGAGACATCATCTACAATTCTCTCTGGGGTACCCAGACCCCCTCTTCATACTGATTTAAACCCTCCTTCTTTATAGACAACCACCCTAGACCATTCAGCGATTCCCAGAACCTCTCTTCACATATTCTTCTTTGCAAAAAAGACCCCTCCCACCCTAACCCATTCTTGGGACAGACTCCCCCCACCTCACATTATTAGCCTAACCTTTTCTTCTTTGCAAAAAGACCCCTTTCCTCCCCGCCCCAACCCATTCTAGGGATGCCCAGATACCATTCTTCGTATCAACCTAAACCCCTCTTATTTGCAAAAAGACCCAACCCCACCCTAACCCATTCCAGGGATGCTCAGACCCCCTCTTCATATCAAAATTCCTCTTTTCCACAAAAAGATCCCACACATACCCTATTACAATCCAAGGATGTACAGACTATACTTCATAATGGCTTAAACTCCTTTCCCACATACCCCTCCCACTGTCCAAATCTCATTAAGAATACCGTGAAACCCCCTCTTAGGCAAAACCCCTCCAACCACCACCCTAACCCTGATAAGATAGCCAGACCCCTCTTCCTCACACCCAGGGCCCTCTGACCATCCTACTACCCTGTGGCTACCCAGACCTCCCCAGCTTAACACACAGATCTCTCTCACCACCCTAACCCCCTCCAGGGATCCCCAATTCCTACTCTTCACCTTGACCTAATTCCTAGTACTTTTCAGAAAGACCATTCCTCTTCAAGTTATTCTAGGGATACCCAGACGCCAGTTTCACATAACATAACATAAAACATAACCCTTCTTTGCACAGAGATCCCTCTCAACCCATTCCAAGGGTACCCAACGCGCCCCCCCCACAGCGGTTTAACTCTTCACATTAATGTAACCCCATTCTTCACGCCGGGACCTCTCCCTCAGCTCTAAATCTCCCCTCTAGGCACATCCATTTCCTGATATCTTTTCACACCAAGACCCCTCTCATTGGCCTAACTCTCCAGGAATAACTAGAGTTTCTCTTTACGGTAACTTAACCACCTCTGTTCTCACGGCCTAAACCCCTCCCTGGGCACCCTACTGCCCTCTAACCGTCCACCCTCCTTCGGTCCTGGACTGTCCCAGCGCCCAGCCCTTTGCCGCGTACTCCCAGGAGCCTTGGAGACCCTCCCGGGGGCAGCTCTAACGCCTCCCTTACCACCCAGGTCCCTGCCAGCCCCCAGCCCAAGCCCCGTCCCTCCTCGCCCTTCCCAGGACTCTGGCCCCTTTCCCACCCGCCACCCCGGCCCGGCCCCCGCCCAGCTTCCTGCGCGCCCCGCGGGCCGTTGGTACCGCTCCGCCCTCATCTCCCGGCGCGCGCCCCCCTCCGGCCCTCAGTGCGCAGGCGAGGTGACGAGTGGAGACAGCGGGGGGAGGGTGGGGAGCCCGGCCGGCCCTTCACACGCCCGCCCGCACTTACCCGCCTCAGCCGTCTCGCACCCCCCGGGCCCGGGCCCGGGCAGCAGCTCCCCTCGCGCGGCCACCCTAGCGCTACGCCCTCTCTAGCTCCCGCCGTCTCCTCTCGCCTGCTCCGCAGCCTCGCTCTCGCCCCCAATCACCCTCAGGAACGCCCCTCCCACCTTCCTCGTCGGCCGCCGCGCCGATGGCGAATGAGCCCAATCATCGCCCGTCTGGCCCCTGCCGTTCTGCCAATCGACGCTCACGTCTCCGAGCCCTGGGCCAATAATATGTGACGTTTGGATCCCCCGCAGCGCCCAACCAATCCTCCAGCGACGTTCTCTCACCGGCCGGCCCCCGGGTTGATAGTGCCCGCCCCCTTACGCCCCCTGAAGGATGTTCCTCCTCCACTTCCTCAGCGATTCCGTTTGAAGGCTCTAGAGGGGAGGACAGCGCGGTGACGTCAGACGGCGGACCGCTGCTTCGGGCGCCATGTTGGGGTTGCCGGTCGGGAGGTGCCTCGGGGTCGAGGGGTAAAGTGGGGGAAATTGAGGCACCCGACGCTCGGAGGGCGGAGGCGGGGGACTCGAGGCGCAGGAATCCCAGAGGAAAGAAAGGGGAGAGTGAAGCACCGTCAGCGCGAAGGGGAGACGGGAAACTATAGTACCAATTGCAGGGAGAGAAAAAGGGGAAATCAAGGCTCCAGACTCACTTCATTAGAAAGAAGGGAATAGGGACTTCCCTGGTGGCGCAGTGGTTAAGAATCTGCCGGCCAATGCAGGGGACACAGGTACGAGGCCTGGACGGGGAACGTCCCACATTGCCGCCGAGCAACTAAACCCATGCGCCACAACTACCGAGCCTGCGCTCTAGAGCCCGTGAGCCACCACTGCTGAAGCCCGTGAGCCACAACTACTGAAGCCCGGGCGCCTAGAGCCTGTGCTCTACAACAAGGGAAGCCACTGCAATGAGAAGCCCGGGCACCGCAACGGAGAGTAGCCCCCGCTCGCTGCAACTAGAGAAAGCCCGGGAGCGGCAACGACAACAAAAAAACCAACATAGCCAAAAATAAGTTAATTAATTTTTTAAAAAAGAGGAATAAAGGCAGCAAGAAGGAAGGGAAGAAAAACCGAGGGACTCTTGAGGGAGGGGGAGAAGAAATGTCGGAGGAAAAACAAGGAGAGAAGGAATCTGAGGGAACAATGAAAACCTGAAGCATAAGGGAGGAAATGGGAAATGGAGGAGAAAACATAAAATCGGGGATGGGCAGTTTCATTTGTTTTGTTTTCTATTCGTGATTATTTAATAACCGGCTACGATATGCCAGGTCAAGGTTAATCTTTGTAGGGATAGAGAAGGAACAAGAAAAGTCTGTGCCCTCGTGGAGTTTACATTTTAGTGAGGGTAGAAAATACCAGGTACAAAAATAAATGTAGACAGCCAGTGACAGTGTTGTAAAGAAAATACAGCAGGTAGGCAGAGGGTGTGGAATGAACTTGGGTGGGCCTCTCTCTGAGGTCACTGAGGAATGACAGGAAGGAGCTAGCCAGTAAACTACTGATGGAAAGTATCCAGATGGATCATCATTTTTGCCCAAGGTCCCCTCAACCCAGGCCCTGGTCCAAGAGAATCTCAAAGGAAACCAAGTCCAGGACAGTGTCTCTTTATTATCAAGGCTTTCAGAGCCAGGACAGACAGGACAGAGGAAGTTGCAATGGGGACCTCGAGGGCCCCTTCTCTCCCTGCCATGGTACCCACAGGCTTCCTTTAGCCAAGGGCAGAGGTCTGAATCCCTGCCTATTGGGAAACCTAGTCCCTGCCCCACCTCCCTTACCCAAGTGTCACTAAGGTCTCAGGCCAATCCCAACCCCAGGGCTGAGCCAGTGGGTGTGACAGTGCCCAGTCCTCAGACAGCTCAGGCAGTTTCATTTGAAGAAACAGGGAATGTAGGGGGTAGATGACCTGAAGGACAACCAGGGTGAGAACCTGAAGAAAGTGACCCTGTAATGTCTGGATTATATTCTCCTTTCTTCTAGGGTGCCCCCCTTCCAGGCTGATGCCCCCAAAGCTCAGGGAAGCTGGAGTACCTATATGTTCAGGGAGCTCTGGCCATTCCTACTCAATGTCCCCTTCTGGCCCTTAGAGCCTTGGGAGCAAGTTGCCCCAGCACTGTTATGTTTCCAGTGCTACTTCCCAAGGACAGGAGCTGCAAGAGATTCACTTGTTCTAACCGCCCCCCCCATTTCTCGGATGAGTAAACTGAGTCTAGAGGAATTGGTCATTTACTTTCCTAAGGCCAAAAAGCTCCGAGGGGACCCCAAACACTGAGTCAGACCTAGGTCTGACTCTTCAGCCACTCTTGCTATATCCTTCGATTGGATTCTAACTGGGTATCCTAACTTTCTACTAGATTAAACTCTAACTCCAGACCCATGTAATTAAACCAGGCTGCCTGGATTGGAATCCTGGCCCTGCCACTTCTTAGCGGTTGTCTTGGGCAAGTCAGCTCCTCTGTGCCTCAGTTTCCTCACTTGCAGGATAATAGCCCCTGTCTTGTGTGGTTGTGAGGCACAGAGTAAAAGCTATGTAAGAGTTAAGTGCTGGAGGGGGTGCGGAGAAAAGGGAACCCTCCTACACTGTTGGTGGGAATGTAAATTGGTGTAGCCACTATGGAAAACAGTATGGAGGTTCCTCAAAAAACTAAACCTAGAGTTGCTTTATGATCCAGCAATCCCACTCCTGGGCATATATCCAGACAAAACTATAATTTGGAAATATACACGCACCCCTATGTTCATAGCAACACTATGTACAGTAACCAAGACATGGAAACAACCTAAATGTCCATCAATAGATGAATGAATAAAGAAGATGTGGTACATATGTACAATGGAATAGTACTCAGCCATAAAGAAGAATGAAATAATGCCATGTGCAGCAACACGGATGGACCTTGAGATTATCGTACTACGTGAAGTAAGTCAGAAAGAGAAAGCCAAATACCATATGATATCACTTATATGTGGAATCTAAAATATGACACAAATGAAGATACCTACGAAACAAACAGACTCACTGGTATAGACAACAGACTTGTGGTTGCCAAGGAGGTGAGGTGGGGGAGGGAAGGATTGAGAGTTTGGGATTAGCAGATGAAAACTATTATATGTATGATGGATTAAACAACAAAGTGCAAAACAACAACGAAGTGCTACCATAGAGCACAGGGAACTATACTCAATATCCTGTGATAAACCATAATGGAAAAGAATATAAAAAAAGAATGTATACATATGTATAACTGAGTCACTTTGCTGTACAGCAGAGATTAACACGTAAATCAACTATACTTCAGTAAGATTTTTTTAATTTAAAAAAATTTTTTTTAATCTATGTAAGAGTTTTTTTTTTTTTTTTTTTTGGTGGCCTCTCCTGTTGCAGAGCACAGGCTCCGGACACACAGGCTCAGCGGCCAGGGCTCACGGGCCCAGCCGCTTCGCGGCATGTGGGATCTTTCCGGATCGGGGCACGAACCCATGTCCCCTGCATCAGCAGGCAGACTCTCAACCACTGCGCCACCAGGGAAGCCCAAGAGTTATTTTTTTTAGGATCTCAAGGAGCCTAGTAATAATAGCTAATGTGTCTTGAGTGTGTTATGACTTGCTATTATGCTCAGTGCTTTCCATGCATCATCCAGTTTAATCCTCTCAATAACCCTGGGAGGGAGGAACTATTGCTCTCACTTTGCAAAGAAACTGAGGCTCAGAGAAATTAAATAACTTGTCCATCATTAGGAAGAGACAGAGCCAGGATTGTAACCCAGGAGTTGACTCCAAGGTCTATACTCTTGGCTCCCAGGCTCTACTGCCTGACAGGTGGGACGTCCAGAGTGGCATGCTAAATGGATGAATGCAAGAAGTAAAGGAAAGAAGTTGGTGGTAACCAGTGAGCTCTAAAGCTAGTAATCTGGATTTGCCCTCAGGATGAAATCACCAGGGGCAGGAACCAGATAACCTGGAAGCTAGACCCAGCCTTTGACAGACTCCATGCCCTGGGGCAGAGTCTCACTCCTGTCCACTTGAAAATGGAAGGGTCAGGCTTGATTTATCAGGCCCCTTTCTGCTGCGACCTTCTGCTTGTATTTCCCAATTTATCTGGATTGACTAGGTCCCTTCACTTCAGATGATACACGAGTAAGCTGAGGCCTGCGTCAGTTTTTTTGGAGATGGTGGCACAGGACTAGGACTTCTGGGACAGGTTCAATCTAAGATAGGCATTCTATGCTGGGGTCCCTGCATAAGCAAAGGCCTAGAGGCCAGGGCGAGTCTGCGCTTTCAGAGCGAGCTGGAGCTGAGGGTGGGTGTTGGGGGCCCCTTAAGTAGGGCGAGGAGGTATATGTAAAGTCGGTGGGCCTTCAGGGTCAGATGTATATGTCAGAAGCATGTGGGGGATGCAGGGGGCCTCCCATGCCAGGCCGATGTGAGAGTTGCCACGTGCAGAGTGTATGCGCGCGAGGCATGCGGTCACGTGTGCTGGGGGCTGCACGTGAGTGTCTCAGTGTCTCCTCCCCATCACGAGCATTGGGGGTGGTGGTGAGTCATGGACTCAGCCTTCAGCGCCAACTGTCATGTTCCTTCCCCCCAAATTTCACCCCCCACCCAGCCATGCACCACCCACCCCCACTCCAAGATCTGTATCTCTGCTTCTCTCTTCCATCCCCCTGCCCTGCTCAGCTCTCTCCAAGAGGGGGGGAGTCTTCCACTTCTGCGGGCTCTGCCCTCCAGCTCCCTGCCCTTTCCCACTGACTATGCTTGGGTGAATCTTCTCCCCACCCACTCAGGTCCCCAGGATTTCTTTCTGCATGATGGAGAATTCTCATACTCACCACCCATCCCTTCACCTCCATGGGGGCTATTTCTATTTCTGGGGGCTTCTCCCTTTTCTCCATGGGCCGGCTGCTCCTGCCTCAGTGGGTCTTTTGTGTCCACATTCTGCCTTTGTGGGTTTTCTGGTGTCTGTGGGCCTCCCTCCATTTCCGTGACCCTCTCCCACTTTTCTTGGCCCTCCTCCTTGTCTCTGTAATATGCATCCTTGTTCCAATGTCTGTGGTCCTCTCCTCCTGTCCATGGTCTTCTCCTGTCACCATGGACCACTCCCCATGCCTGAGGAGTGCTTTCTGTTCCTGTGGGCCTCTCTCCATCTTCCTGGGGGCTCTCTGAGTCCATGAGCTGCCCCCTGTCCCCATCTTCATGGGGGGCTCTCTGAGTCCACGAGCTGCCCTTGTCTCCGAGGTCCTTAGCTTGTCTCTGTGGTCTGCTCCCTGGTCTAGGTGACCCTTTCTTTGCTCTGGGCTTTTCCCTGTCCTTGTCCTTGTGGGGTTTGCGGACCTTGGTCCACCTCTGTGGCTCTTGATGGCTGTCTTGCTGTTTCTCTGCATTCTTCTTCATCTCTGTAGCCCTGTCCCCCAGCTTCATGGCCTTCTCCCCAGGTCTCCCTGCCTCTCAGCTGTGTCTCTGTAGACTCCTGTGCCCAAGGGCTGCCTGGGCAGGGCGGTGGCATGGTGTGGTGGAGGAGGTGGCGGCGGGTGGGCCCTCTGTCCAATGCAGCGCCTTCCCCTCATCAGCATTCTCCTCTCCGGGGGCCCCCCAGCTCGGACCAATACGGGCTCCCCCTCCCCTGACTCCCATCGCTCCGTCTCTCTCTCTCTCTCTCTGACTGCCTGCCTCCCTCCTGCCCACCCTCCTCCCCATCTCCCTCCCTCCCTCTCTCCTTCCCTCCCTCCCTCATCTCTCTCCCCCCCGCCCCCCTGCGCTCCAGGACCCAGCGCGGGCGGCAGGCGGGCAGGCAGGCGGCGGCCTCGGAGGGGAGAAGGAGAAGTGGTGGTGGCCGTGGCTGCGGTGGCAACCAGCAGCAGGAAGGCAGGCCCAGCTGGGGACCCGGAGCCGGCGGCTGCTTCTCACAGGGAACCAGGGGTCCATGGCCAGGCCCTCCTGCTGAGGCCCTGCGCTGGGTGCCCCCGGGACACCCCCCCTCCTCCTTCTCCCTCTTCCACCTGCTTCTCTCCATCCTCCCCTCCCTCCTCCTCTCCCTCCTCCCTATCTCTCCACCTCTCCGGCCCTCTCATCACTCTTTGGGTCTCCCAGCACTCCGTCCTCCCCAGGTCCTCCACTCCTCTGCCTCTCCCCGCCCCCAGCATGCTTTCCCGTGGGGGCTGAGGGCTTGAGGTCCACAGGCCCTAGCCTCTTCCAGGGCAGGGCCGGCGCTCCAGGGGGGAGGGGGGAAGGGGTGGCCCCCTCCCCCCAACCAAGCCCTCCCCTCCCCCACTTCTCCCGATGGCCAGCTTCCTTGTCTCCACCCAGTCCTCGCCCCCCGTGGCCCCCCCAGGCCGGCCTGGCTAGGGGAGGGGGCGGGGGCCCTTGCCTGGGCCGGCTTCCCCCTCCCCCGGCTCTGCCTGTGCCCCCTCCCTTTCGTTTTCACCTTCCTCCCTCCTTCCCCTCCATTTGCTCCTTCCCCCTCTCCTCTCTCCCCTTCCCTCCTCCATTTTCTCCTTTCCCCTTCCTCCCCTCCCCGGCCCGCCCTCTCCTCTTCCACCTGTCCTTCCTCGCTGCGCCCCGGGAGCACCCCCATTTTGGGTTAGTTGGGGGCCACTGCCGGAGGTGGGGGAGGGGGCCCTGTGGACTGCCCTCTCCCCCCGCCCCAGCCACACCGCCCAGCGTCAGAGCATCTCCTCCTTGTCGTTCCTCCGGCCTCGAGGGAGCCCAGCCCTCTGTCCCACCAGGATCCGTGAGTGTCTGCAGGATGGGGGTTGGGCTGGGGCCGGGCCTGGGTCCTGGAAGGCTGGGCTCACTGCGGCCTGGTGGGGGGCCCCGCATTACCCTGCTCCCCGGAACGGCAGATACCCTCCCCCACCAAGGGCCTGCCCTGCGCCCTCCATCTCCCAGCCTTCCTTCCCCTTGGCCTTTCCTCACCCCTTCTTCTGGGTACAGAGCTCATCTTGCCTCCCAGCCCCCAGCTGCTGGGCTCCTGAGGGGCTGGCTGGCTCTTACTTGCGGTCTCACTCCCTCTCCGGGACTCCTGGCTGGTCTCCGCCCCTGCTTGCTCCAGCCTCGGCCCCGCGGTGACCGGCTCTGCTCTCTCACTCTGCTTCAGTCTCTCTTCTTTCCTCTGAGCCTCATCCTCTCTGCCTGCCATGCGTCCCATCCCAGCCGGTCTCTATCTCCTGGAAATGTCTTTCCATTTTGGAATCTCCATTTCATGTGTCTCTTGGGCCTCGCTCTGGCTCTGTCCAACTTGTTTCTCCTTACTGCTAGCCCAGCCCTTTCTCGGTGTGTCTCTGCTGATCTCTGTCTCCGTCTCCCTCTCCTCCCTCTGTCTCTCAAAACTCCCCTGTCTCTCCTCTCTCTCTTTTGGGAGGATCCCATGCCCGGTCTAGCCCTCTCTCCACTGCCCTCTGTCCCCTGTTTGCTTTGCCTGTGCCTCTGCTCCCGTCTGCCTCTCTAACTCTGCGCTCGGAGGCTGTCTTCCTCCTCTTACTTTTCTGCTTTCTTCCCCGGATCCACTCCTCGTCCTGTCTCCTCCATCCCTCACTCCTTTAGCAACTGCCCCCCTCCATGGTCCACTTTGTCTTTTCTGTGGTGATCTCCCCCCCACCCCCATTCTCTCTTCCCACTTCTCCATTCCCCTGCCAGGCCTTTGGTTCCCATTCCTTCCCTCCCTTTGGGGCTTGCAGGCTCTGGGAATGACCGCCCCTTCCAAGGTGCTCTGAGTGATGCACCTCTGTGTGGACCTGCCCCCCTTAGGTGGCTGCTTGTCCTGTCTCCTGCCTGTGCCCCTCCAGGTCACTCACTCTTCCTCCCTCAGTTTCCCTCCCTGACTCTCACTTCTCGTCTCTCCTTGTTTGGGAGTCTGTCTCTCTATCTTGTGTCTGTCCCACTTGCCCCTTCCTCTTCTCTAGAGAAACTGTGTGGCTCACATACCTTTTCTCTCTGTCTCTTTCCGACTAGCCCTCCTTCTTTTCAGAGTTTTGCAATTTCTCTTCTCCCCACGGTTCCTGTACCTGTTAGTTGTTTTGCCTCACCTCATTTGCCCTCTCCCCTTTGTGATATCTCTCACTTGCCCACTGGTCTGTCTTCCTACCCTGGCAGCGCCCTTTCCGCTCACTCAGCTGCTGTGTTTCCATCTTTATCTGGCTTTGCCTAAGTACCTGGGCCTATGAGACTCGGGCCTGATTCCCTGCCCCTCCTCTCTCACGCTCTCTGTCTTGTCTCTGTCCCCTTTGGTGTCTCAATTGTAGGTGATGTGTGTGTGTCCTTCTCTCTCATTTAGCCCTAGTTACTTACTTTTGGTCTGTCTGTTTTTCTGTCTGTGCCTTCCTGTACCTCAGTGTCCATCTGCTGCCCCCAGCCCTGTCCCTGGACTGTGTCTTTCGGTTTCCACCCGTGTCTGCCACCTGTGGGTCCCTGCCCTTCTGGCTCCTGTCTCATTCTCGGTCTTTCTATCTATCCTCTAGTCTCTGCTCCCTGATTTGCCCCCAGAAGCCCCTGGTGTCTCAGGATGACCCCCTCACTCCAGCCTCTCTCCTAGCCCCGCCCTCCACATCCCTCCCCCTGTGAATTCTCCTTCCAGCTTCTCCCTGCTTCCCTTGCTCCTCCACCCTTGACAGGCCTTCACCTTAGATGCCGATTACAGTCCACAGGCCCCAGGCTGTCCAGCAGGCCCTCCCATCCCCAGCCTGTCTTTCCCAGAGGTCCCGAGAGAGAGAGAGGGATCTGCTCGAGGTCACCTGGGAGTCGGTGGCAGAGCAGGGACTGAGGGCGGGGTCTCTTGTGGCCCTGGCCTAGGTTTTCTGGCTTCAAGGGATGATCTGAACTTTGCATTGTGCCTCTGTCTCCATTAGCAAGTTTCATTCTACCATCTCACCACCTTGAGCCCTCCTTCTGTGGGCATGAGTGGGGTGTGGGGAGTCCCCCCAGGCTCACCTCACAGCATTCTAGGCCTCTCAGTAACCCCCTCCCATGGAAACCCAAGTGTCCCTTCCCTTCGGGGCATAGCCCTTGGCCAGGGGGCACCATGCATCTGGCCAAACTCATCCCTGCCCAGTGGTCACCCTGCGGAAGCCCAGGGCACCTGGAGCAGTTGTGGGGAGCAGAGACTCACTGTCTGCCCCTAGTCTTCAGCTCCCTGGTGCAGGGTGCGGGGGCACAGTTTGGCACCCGCTTCTGCAGGCAGTGCACCCCTTGCCTTACTCAGTCTTCCCATCCAGGTCTCTGGTGGCATCTCCGGTGGGTTTGTGTCCTCTCCATTCTGTCTTCCTGTTCTATTCTGTGTCCCTCCTGTGTCTTGACTTCCCTCTCTTCTGCCTGCCTGCTCTCTTCCTCTCCCTGCCCTGCCCTTTGTCTCTCCATCTCCGTGTCTCACTGTCTTCCTATCTCTTCCCTCTTTCTCTTTCCTAGTCCTGTCCTCATCTTCCTGTAACTCTCCTCTGTTTCTCTCCGTTGCTATCCCCATTCTCTTGTCTTCATATCAGCTTTCTGTTCCCTTATATTTTGGCCTATTTTCCCTTTCTCCTTTCCTGAGTCTCTTGGTATCCCTCCCACCTCTGGCCTCTCTTCCTCTTTCTGTCTCTCTGCTTCCCCCCTTCCCTCTCTTTACCCTTCTTTTTTCCTTTTTTCTTTTTTAGTCCCTTAGGTGCCTTGGGTCTGACCATCTGACTCCATCTGTGTGCCTCCATGTGTCTTTCTCTTCCCAAGTTTCCTAACTCCTCGATACTCTCCCCTCCAGACCCCGGATGTCCAGGCCTCTCTCCCTGTGGGATTGTGGGAACCAGGGACGTCAGGAAGGTGGCAAGTGAGGCCTGGAATGGGGTTGCCTAGCAACCACTGCATCCTCTCCAGCCGGTTTCTGTTGCCTAGTAACAGCTGCCTGCCCAGAGACAGGGGCGGAATTGGGTGGGGAGGTGGCACTTCCTGGTCTCCTCCTGGGGTGGAGATGGTTCCTGGAATTCGCTCTTACCTGAGATCCTTTTCATGCCTGCCTCCCATTTTGGTGGCTCTAGCAGTGTTTCTCCCACTCAGTGCCTGCGTGCTGTGGGCTTCTCCCTGCTAGCGCTCCTCTGATTCTCAGCTCCCCCTACAGCGATGCCTCCAGTCTTGTCAGCTCTAATGAGGGCAGGGCCCTTCAGAGCTCAGCAACAGTGTCCCAGGCTCTGTGGTCACCACCCCATCCAGCAGTCCCCAGAGGGGCTTAGAGGCCCCCGTATCAGCAGTCTCCCCGTGGGCTGGGGGTCTCCCTGCAGGTGGCGAGTGGGGGCCGCGGCAGCTGCGTCCCCATGAGGAAGGAGGAAGATGCCGGCTGAGCTGCTGCTGCTGCTGATTGCCGCCTTTGCCAGCCCCAGCTGCCAGGTGCTCTCATCGCTGCGCATGGGTGAGGCCCCACGGCGCCCCCGCTGGCCCCGGCTCCTTCCTCCCCCGGACCTAGGAGTCCAGATCCCGGCTCTCTCCAACCTCAGATCAGGGAGTCTGATCTGACCCCCACCTCCAGCCTCCCTCAGAGCCAAGGAGTCCAGGAGCCCAGCCCTTCCTCCCTCAGGACCCAGGAGTATGGTCCCCAACTCCTGTGTCCCCTCAGCTGCCATCCTGGACGACCAGACAGTGTGTGGCCGCGGTGAACGTCTGGCCCTGGCCCTGGCCCGGGAGCAGATCAACGGGATCATCGAGGTCCCAGCCAAGGCCCGCGTGGAAGTAGACATCTTTGAGCTGCAGCGGGACAGCCAGTACGAGACCACGGACACCAGTGAGCAGGGCCACAGGGGCCGTGGGGTGAGGCAGGGCAGGCTGGTGGCCCCTCCGTCTGTTCCTCGGCCCTGGCCGCCTCAGCTTGCCATGTTCTCTTCTAGTTCCATCTGCCCCTTCCTTCCTGTCTGCACTGCCCTCTCCTTCCCAGAGATGATGCTGCTGGGCCTGGGGCGGTGGGCAGAGCATCAGCCCCCGTGCTGCCCTGGAGGAGCTGAGGGCCTCGTTTGAAAGAGAAGCTTCACAGCTGGCTGGGGACACTTAGCCCCCAGAGCTAAGTAATGAGGGGCCCAGGCAGCGAGGCCAGGGTGCCTCAGGGGCAGGGACAGCGAAGGTGTTCTGGAGAAGACTAAACTGAAGCTGAGCTCTGAAAGATGAGCAGGATATAGAGGGAGAGGTGTTGCTCACGGTATGCCCCGTGGAACACAACCAGCCCTATAGTAGGGGTGCATGAGTCTGTTGAATACTCACAGACTGAGCAAATGTCCCTTGAATAGACGTGCTGGGGACATTAGACCTTCGGGAGATGCTGCCTTCAAAGGTGTTTTAGACAGGTTTCTTTCCTGCAGGCCTTTATCAGAGCCTTTGTTATGTTCATGTGTGTTTCAGATCACCGAGAGGGGGAATGGGGTCCAATGTTCCCTGGACTTTTTTGACTGGTGTAACACAGAACACAATGAGAGACCGGGTTGGAGGGTATGGTGGGAGATGGTATTCCAGGCATGTGCCTGTAGTCTGGAGCTGGGGCAGAGGGGAGGGCTGAGTATTTGGAGCCAAGCAACTCGATGTGGGGTTGCACCCATCCTGAACACCTGGACTCAGGACGTGTTTGGGGGGATCGTGAGAGACTTCTGGACTGGAGTGTGACTCGGCAGTGGGAGGTGAGGCTGGGCAGATTGACAGGCCAGCTCGAGGAGGTCTACAGGTCAGGTTGAAAGACGCTACCTTCACCTACAGGCAGTGGGGAGTCGTTGATGGGTTTGGAACAGGGAGCTGGTGAAAGTGGAGTCTGGAAGCTAGATTTGGGTAGCTGGCGAGGAGACTGGTACGTGCCTGAGTTGACAGCCCTAAAGTAGGACAGGGGAGGAGGGGTCGAAGAGAAGCGGACAGATATGAGAAAATTTGGGGACAAAAAAGAGACGGGATTTGGTGACTAATTGGCCATTAGGAGGAAGATTGAAGGCAAGGACCATTTCCAGGTATTTGGTGTGTGTAAATGGTGGGACCCTCACCAACATGGAAGACACAGAAGAAATAAGTTTGGAGGAAGATGAGACGTTTAGTTACGGTGCTCTTAGTTGGATGGCAGAAACCCAACTCAGGCTGCCTTAAGGAAAAAAGAGAACTTATCAGCTCATGTCACTGAAAGGCCTAAAGATTAATTTCAGGCTTGGTTGAATCCAGGTACCCAAATGATATCCCAGGATTGTTTCAGGCAAGGCTTAATACAGGCACTCAAATGATGTTCCAGGAACGTCTGTGTCTTCATCTCTGGGTCCTACTTTCCTCTAAATTGGCTTCATTTTCAGGAAGGCCCTCCCCAGCTGGTGGCAAGATGGCCTCAACTGCTCAAAACTTTGCATCTCACCAGTTTAGCAAACCCAGTGATAATTTTAGCAGAGGACCTGGGGAAGGCTCTCAGTGGCCTAGTTTGAGCCTGTCCCCATCTCTGAACCGATCCCTGTGGCCAGCACAATGTGGTTCTTTGATCCTGGGTCAGGTACCAATCAATTCTGGGAACCATGTGATTCCCTCAGGAAAAGTTAGGGTTCTGCCATGGGGATGGGCACTGGACAGGTAAAAACCAAGGCTTCTGTCCACCTCCCAGTCTTGAGATGCACACATGTTTAAGGAGAAAGAAAATGGAAGAAAGAGGAGCGAGGAAATGCAGCAGAGGAATGGTGTTTGGGGTGTAGAGTGTAGAGGGGACCTTGGCTGTGGGTTCAGGGTAGAGGGGGTGTTGGATGCACCTTAGGTTGTGCGTGGTTCAAAAGCTTAAGAGAGACAAAGGCTGAGAAACCAGGCACTGGATTTGCAGCCAGAAGGAGGTCCTTGGTGTATCCTCTTCATTTCTTCCTTTGTCTCTCTCTTGGTCTGCTGGCCCTCTGTTGCCATGTCTCCCTGCCTCCCTCTGTCTCGTGCCCCCTCCTTTTGTCTCCTGCGGTGGGCTGGGTCAGGGACTGGGCTTCTGGGTCCCCAGGTGGTGGAGGAGGGTCAGGCACCTCCATGTGGAGTGTTGGGTTCTCTCCTGGGCCAAGGCAGTTCCCTGAGGGCGGGGACAGAGAGGAGGAAGAGGGTCCCTGAATCTGCGGTCTCTTCCCACCCCTCACAGTGTGTCAGATCCTGCCCAAGGGGGTCGTGTCTGTCCTGGGGCCCTCCTCCAGCCCTGCGTCGGCCTCCACCGTGAGCCATATCTGTGGGGAGAAGGAGGTGAGGTGGGAACGCGGGGTTGGCGGGGGGACGGTCCCTGGAGGCGAGGGCTGGGGAGGGGGGAGCAGGATGGAAGCAAAGGTCCTTCTCTGTTCAGATCCCCCACGTCAAGGTGGGTCCCGAGGAGATGCCCCGCCTTCAGTACCTTCGCTTCGCGTCTGTCAGCCTGTACCCCAGTAACGAGGACGTCAGCCTGGCGGTCTCCCGGATCCTCAAGTCCTTCAACTACCCCTCGGCCAGCCTCATCTGCGCCAAGGCCGAGTGTGAGGGAGGAGAACTGTTTTTTATTTTATTTTATTTTTTTGGACGCGCCGCCCGGCCTGTGGGATCTTAGTTCCCCGACCGGGGATTGAACCCAGGCCCTTGGCAGTGAGAGTGCAGAGTCCTAACCACCAGACTGCCAGGGAAGTCCCACGAGGGAGGAGAACTGGATGCCTTGTTTTCTATTCCCCCAAACTCCCCTTCCCAAGACATCTAGTCTCCCACAGTCATGAATGCCCCCTGATTTTAAGGCCCGGGGAATCCAGACACAGGCTCTCCTAGTCTCCACCATCCCTTCCCCTTTAGGAACCCAGACCTCTGGTTCCACAGGCCACCCCCTCCCCACCCACTCCTGACCCCAAAGAGACTCTTTAGTCCACAGATAGTGACCGAGCACGCGCTCGGAGCAGAGCCCCTGCTAGGTCCCAGTGATTCAGCAGTGAACAGCGCTAGGCGTGGTCCCCGGCTTCCCGGAGCTCCGGGGCCACTGGGGGACGCCGTGGTCGAGCAGTTGTGATGCGGAGTGTTGCGAGCTCTCAGGAGTTAAGCGGGGGTGATCCAACCCTAGTCTAGGAGGTTCAGAGCCTGCCTCCCAGAGAAAGGGACCTCTAAGATGGACCTGAAAGGTAGGGAGGAGGTGAGGTGGGAGAGAAGAGAGGGAGTATGTACAAAACAGAGGGCAGGGCAGGGCAGAGGCGAGGCCCTGGGAGGCTTAGAGATGCTCCCAGCATGGGAGCAATGAAGTAGGACCCGGGAACGGGGCATGATCACTGAGGGCCTTTTGTTTTTTCCCGAAGACGATGGGGGCCATGGAAAGTACCCACACCGGGCAGGGACGAGTGTGTTGCAGGAAGAGCTCTTTGGGCTCTTTGGCTGCAACACAGAGAGTAGGCTTGGAGACTCCATGACACGAGATGTGGCATGGAGAGCAGCTAGAGGCGGGGAGGGATGGTCCTGGTTAGGGCTCAGGCGGTGGCATGGGGACGGAGGGGCCAGAATGGATTTGACGAGAGCTGTGAGGGAAGGGAGAGGGTGGGGTCATGGACGGTGACCAGGTCCTGCCCGAGGAGGAGGGGACAGTCAGTTCAGGGGCGCATGCTGTGTTTGAGGTGTCTTTGAGACATTCAAGTGGAGACGTCTGGGAGGCTGACGGGCTTGTGGGTGCCGCTGGAGAGAGAGAGGACCGTGCTCAGTCACCTCCAGGAGGGATTCCTCTTTCAAAAGGTATTCACTGCACACCTGCCGTGGTCCAGACATTTATTTTTATTTTTTACTTATTTATTTAATTTATTTATTTTTGGCTGTGTTGGGTGTTCGTTGCTGCGCGCAGGCTTTCTCTAGTTGCGGCCAACGGGGGTCACTCGTTGCAGTGTGCAGGCTTCTCACTGCAGTGGCTTCTCTTGTTGTGGAGCACGGGCTCTAGGCGCGCGGGCTTTAGTAGTTGTGGCTTGCAGGCTCTAGAGCGCAGGCTCAGTAGTTGTGGCGCACGGGCTTAGTTGCTCTGAGACATGTGAGATCTTCCTGGACCAGGGCTCGAACCCCTGTCCCCTGCATTGGCAGGTGGATTCTTAACCACTGATCCACCAGCGAAGTCCCCAGACATTGTTCTTGGTATTAGGGATGTGGCAGTGCATGAGCCAGGCCGTTGTCAAACCTAATGAGAAGAGCCAGGCAGTGGACATAGAGAAGACGTGGTCTGGTCAGGAGTAGTGAGTCCTGTGGACAAATAGAGGAGGATGACGGGGATTGGGAGAGCTGGAGTAAGGGGGTGCAATTTGAAATAGAATGGTTGGCGTGGGCCTCACTGAGGAGGTGATATCTGAGTAAAGATCTGGAGTGTGGGGGTCTGGAGAGGAGCGTTCCAGGCAGAGGGAACAGCCAGCGCAGAGGCCATGGGACACGTGTGTGTGTGTGTGTGTGTGACAACAAGGAGGCCGGCGTAGCCGGAGCCAAGCGAGTGGGAGAGGAGGAGATGAGGTCAGGGACATAATGAAGCGAGTCGGCAGATGGAGTAGGGCCTTGCAGACTGTGAGGACTTTGGCCTTCACTCTGAACCAGCGAGAAGCCGTTGGAGGGTTTGGAACAGAGGAGGACACATCTGCGTTACAGCAGCAGTTCTGGCTGCTGTGTAGGGAACAGACTCTCCGGGGGCAGGCGTGGCCAATGTCACAGGCGGGAGATGGCAGTGGCTCGGGCCAGGGCCGTGACGGGGACGCGGTGCCATGGGGTGTGTTTTGAAAGTAGAGCCTCGGTGGATTGGCCGTGGGTGCGAGAGACAGACAGGGGCCAGGCTGCCATCAAAGGTTCTGGCCTGAGCGCCTGGCCGGCTGGAGTCTGTTCACCACTGTGGTGGTTTGGCGAGGAGAGCAGATTGCGGCTATGCACACGTGAAGTGTGCGACGTTTGTCATGCAGCCCGGTGGGGGCAGAAAGGTGGCAGGAGACAGCGATCTGGAGGTCGGGGGAGGTCTCGGTTGAGACTTCAATTTGAGAGGACCCGAGCATCAGGCGCCTGGGCCCAGCACCCCAAGAGAGCCAGCTGCACTCCAAACAGGAACCCCACATCCTGGGCGAGCCCTGGTCCTCTCCCCAGCTACCCCGTGCCAGAGAGGAGGGGGCGGCCGCCCCATCTCCAGGCACACGGAGGGGCTCTAACCCAGGGCCCCACCCCTCCCTCAGGCCTGCTGCGATTGGAGGAACTGGTGCGCGGCTTCCTCATCTCCAAGGAGACGCTGTCAGTGAGGATGCTGGATGACAGCCGGGACCCCACGCCGCTGCTCAAGGAGATCCGAGATGACAAAGTGTCCACCATCATCATCGACGCCAACGCATCCATTTCCCACCTCATTCTCCGTAAGGTGGGTCCCCACCTGATTTCCCCTCTCTGGTGGGTCCCCACCTGATTTCCCGACAGGGTCAGGAGCAGAAACATGGGGTGACAGAACAAGTCAACCAAGGCCCATGGGCCTCAGTTATCACGTGGTGGTCCGGAGCCCCGCTTCCTACGTGCAAACGCTAAATAGGAAGTTTTGTCTCTCAGCTCAGCTGCTTGCCAGCTGCACCCTTGGTTGGACCCTGGACAGTCGCCTTCCCTCTCTGTGCATACCTGCTACCTCAGTGGGGTGCCGTGAGGGTTAATGAGTGAAAGGTGGGGAAGCACTGGGACAGGCCCTGGCCCAGAATAAACACGGGCGTAGTGGGAGCGCCCTGTCATCTTTACTGAGTGCCTCTCCTACTCTGTGTCGAGGTGTTTGCGCGCCTTCTTTAATTTGGCTCTCAGGACTTCCCTGGTGATCCAGTGGTTAGGGCTCTGCGCTTCCACTGCAGGGGGCCCTGGTTCTCTCCCTGGTCAGAGAACTAGGAGCCCACAATTCGTTCAGTGTGGCCCCCAAAAAACAAAAAAAAAACAAGGTAATTTGGCTCTCACCCCAACCTGCAGGGCAGGGCAGGTATGACACCATTTTTTGGATGAAGAAGCAGGGGTTCTGGGGGGGGGCGGGGAACGGACTGTCTCAAGGGCACCACCCAGGAAGGGCCAGCACAGGACATTTCCCCATGGGCCCTCCGCATGCCATCTAATGGTGACCCACATTCATTAATCATTCATTGTTCCCTGCTCTTAATTTTTCCTCATAATCGAATGTGTATTATTTATTTTTCTCCAGTTTTTAAAAAATTAAAACCATATATCATTGCCGATCGTAGCTAACAGGAAGAAGTGTGGACAGAATCCACAGGGCTCTTGAGGCTTAGAGAAAAGATTTCGGGTTCTGGAGGCAGACCATGCAGGCCTGGGCCGGGGTCCCAGCCCCTCCTCTGCGAGCCAAGTGACCGGTGGTCACTTTCCTCTTGAGCCTGCATTTTTCTGTCCTGGAATGGGCTGTAACCCATGTGATAACAGCTCCTGCCACACAGGCAATGCAGTCTGGTGCCATTTCATGTTCTAATGATGGTAGCAGGACAGAACTGGGCACTCCTAGCATGGAGACGTCTTCTAGCTTTGTTTTCCTTGAGGACTGTGAGAAAGGGGGCTCACAACATGAATCTTGAGATTTATTTATTTTTATTTATTTTTTATTTTTTTGGCTGCGCTGCACGGCTTGCGGGATCTTAGTTCCCTGACCAGGGATCGAACCTGTGCCCCCTGCAGTGGAAGTGCGGAGTCCCAACCACTGGACCACCAGGGAATTCCCGAATCTTGAGATTTAAATTGGCTGCCTTTCATTGCAAAGTGCTTTTTTTTTTTTGCGGTATGTGGGCCTTTCACTGTTGTGGCCTCTCCCGCTGCGGAGCACAGGCTCCGGATGCGCAGGCTCAGCGGCCATGGCTCACGGGCCCAGCCGCTCCGCGGCATGTGGGATCTTCCCAGACTGGGGCACGAACCCGCGTCCCCTGCATCGGCAGGCGGACTCTCAACCACTGCGCCACCAGGGAAGCCCTGCAAAGTGCTTTTAAAGATTGCAGGGGGTAGTTTTTCTGACCTGTGACCAGGCTGAGCCTTACACATTAGCAGCCCAAATTTGGCTTTGGGGCAACCGGGGGGTTAAGGTTAAGGTTAAGGTTGCCCTCCCCCACCCTGTTTCTGAGGTGTCCCTTTGCCTGTCTCCAGAAGGCAGTCTTCTAAGTGACCTAAAGAGGGAGGCGGGCACTTGAGGGTGTCATTCTCTCCTCCAACAAAATCTTCTTCCCACCTGGGGCCCTAGTGACCCTGCGGGACATGAGCAACCAAGGTCTCCCTCTGCCCCCACTTGTCTCCTTTCCCCTGTCTCTCTCTGTCTCTGGGTGTCTCTTACTGTTCCTCATGGGGTGTCTCCTTGCAAGGCCTGTCTCTAAATCTCTCTTGCTCTCTCGACTTCTCCCCATGCCTGCCTCCTGTGTTCTCCAGGCCTCGGAGCTGGGAATGACCTCAGCGTTTTACAAGTACATCCTCACCACCATGGTGCGTACCCTCTGCAGTCCCCGAAGCCCCCATCTCCGTGTGCAGCATCTGCCCTGACGTGGGCCCAGCCCCTCCCTCACCCCCTCTTCTCGGTCCCAGGACTTCCCCATCCTGCACCTGGACGGGATCGTGGAGGACTCCTCCAACATCCTGGGCTTCTCCATGTTCAACACCTCTCACCCCTTCTATCCTGAGTTTGTGCGCAGCCTCAACATGTCCTGGAGGGAGAACTGTGAAGCCAGCACCTACCCCGGCCCCGCGGTGAGCTCACACCCTTGCCCCCGGCACATGGGCATCCTGCACACAGACACTTCCAGGGCCCCTTCAGGCCTTGGCCGGTTGTGCTCAGAACCCTCCGGTGCCCCACTCGCTTTCTGAGAACATCCACGAGGCCTCACAGCGTGGCCCTGAGCTAAGTCTGACCCCTTTCTTCCTTTCCACCTCCCAAGCCGCTCCAGCCACATGGGTCTCCTCCAGGTGCCTCTGCTGCCCCAGCACATGCGCAACTCAGGGCCTTTGCACTTGCTCTTCCTGCTGCTTTGCGTGCACTTCCCCAGGGAGCTAGCAATTTGCTCCCTCCTCTCCAGGTTACTGCTCAAATGTCCCCCTGTTTACAAAATGGCAAACTACCCACTATTTAGCCACCTTCCCTGCCAGATTTTTCTCCATAGCATCTATCTTTGCTTATCTAGTCACCATGTGGCTTGCTCTACGTTTTGCTTAGAGGTATGTACACATATTTAGCTTGTAAGTTCCATGAGGGCGGGCGTTTCTGTTTTGTTCACCATGGTATCCCCAGCATCTAAAACCACCTGCTCAGAGTAGGTATCCGATAATATATGTTGAATAAATGCAGACATACAAAAGATGCATATTTATGTGTATTTGTTCACAAACATCTAGCCATACACCAAGGTACCAAGACACTCCTACGTGCAGAAAAACTCACACAGACACTGAGCCTTGCAGTCAGACATGTGCGTGCAGGGCCATCGCACACATACACGGACAGGGGAGCGTCCATCCGCACCCCACACCTACCTACCCAACACGGATATTCAGACCTTTACCCCACCCAGCCAAGACACGCTCTCCCAGACACACGTCCCATGTTGGCCGTCACCGCTCAGTGGCCAGTTTGTGTCGAGCCCTCACTGTGTGCCAGGCGCTATTTTGAGCACTTTGCATGCATTGTCTCGCTTGAGCCCCACATAAGCACACGGAGGCAGAGATAACTATCACCCTTCCTTTACAAGGGAGGAAACTGAGATTCTGAGAGAGGTGTGGACTTGGTTCTCTACAGGAAGTAGTAGGGCCGGGCCTCCAGTTCAGAGCCTCCCAAGCCCTGGACTCATAACCATTACGTTCTCCTGCTTCCTACACATCAGGCCCACCCTGTATATAGACAAATAAGCATGTTTTTCCAGCCCCACCCACATAAATGTGTCCCCAGACACACTCAGACAGGGGCTGTGGCTGTCTCCCCCCACCCTCCATGACCCTACATCAGCCACAAAGACACACAGATTCCTGCGCCCACCAACATCCCCCTTGAGGGTGACAGCTGGCCGTCTAGGCAAACCCTGTCAGACATGCCCTTCCCCAAACAGACACAGGCCGCACGCAGTCAGGAAGAGCTGCCTCCATGGCGGCGTGGGCAGCATGCACGTCTTTCCCACTGTCATCTCCGATCCCCTAGAAGACCCTCCTCGCTCCTGACCTGCGTGGTTTTATGTTCCTGGAGAGAGGAGAGTTGTCTCAGGGCTTGGGGGTGGCACCATGGGGCTTTGGGGCTCCCCTGGCTGAACTGCATCTTTCCCATCCCTCCCCATCTCTGCCCCGCCCCCACACCCCACACCCCAGCTGTCAGCTGCCCTGATGTTCGACGCCGTGCACGTGGTGGTGAGCGCCGTCCGGGAGCTGAACCGCAGCCAGGAGATCGGTGTGAAGCCGCTGGCCTGTACGTCAGCCAACATTTGGCCCCATGGGACCAGCCTCATGAACTACCTGCGCATGGTGAGCCGGGAGCGGGGAGGGCCGAGGTGGCGTGGCAACCTGCCTCCCGGGGGGGTGCTCACTGTGTCCATCCCCCCTGCCCTGTCCCCCCACCTCCGACCCCGGCCCCATCTCCTGCTCTCCCTGGGCCTCACTCTCCCGTCTGTCTCTCCTCTCCCGGCCTTCCTCTGCCTGTCTGCGCTGCCCTTGCCCTGCTTCTTTGTTCCATCTCCTCTCGTTTGCTGGCATGTTGTCTTACTCGTTTAACTGTGGTCCTTCCTGGTCCCTCTCCCTCTCTCTCGTCTCCTCCATCTCTGTCTCTTCCCCTCTGGGCCCCTGCCACCCTTCCCTCTGCCCTCCTCCCGCCCTGCTAGGTAGAGTATGACGGGCTGACGGGGCGGGTCGAGTTCAACAGCAAAGGGCAGAGGACCAACTACACCCTGCGCATCCTGGAGAAGTCTCGGCAGGGCCACCGTGAGGTGAGCATCCCCAGGACGATGCCAGAGCCTGGATGGAGCTGGGGGCCGGGGCAGGGCGGGGCGGGGCCCAGAGGGCTGAGGCATCCTCAGGCAGGGCCTGTGCTGACAGTGCCCTCTCTGCCTCAGATCGGGGTGTGGTACTCCAACCGGACCCTGGCGATGAACGCCACCACCCTGGACATCAACCTGTCGCAGACACTGGCCAATAAGACGCTGGTGGTTACGACCATCCTGGTGAGTGGCCCTTGTGGGGACAGGCGGTAGATGAAGGTGCCTTTCCTGAGCGGTGCCTAGTGAGGAGGAGGGATGCCTGGGCTGGCACGGCACACGGACCAGTGGGGACGTGACCCAGGCACCCAACAACTCCTGACTGTGGCCGCGACATCACCAGCCTAATTGCTGCTGGAGCAGCTGTGGGCACAGACTCTGCCATCAGAGCCAGGTCCAGCCCTGGGTGCTGCCAGCCTGCCGATGCACTGCAGAGATGGGAACGACTGGCATCATGAGGATTCCACGAGGCGGTATAGGCGGGGCGCCTCTCGCAGCGCCTGGCGCAGGGTAGGCCCCTGTAAATCACCATTGCTAGAGCAGTCATTTTGTCACATTTGCCCACCGAGTGTGTTGACACATGCCAACTTATTTAATATCCATCTTGAAGAGGCTCAGAGAGGTAAAGCAACTTGCCCAGGTCACACAGCAAGTATAAGGCATAGCCAGGACGAATGCCACGTCTCTTATAAGGCATAGCCAGGATGGATGCCGCGTCTCTGAGTCTCCAGAGCCCGAGTCTTAACCACTGTGCTCTGAATGTCCAGTCCTCTCCTTCCTGAGCACCAGCCGTGGAGATGGTCCTGTAGCCCCTGGAGTGTCACTCCTGCATTTTACCAGACCAGAGACCGAGGTGCCTTTGTGGGTCAGCGAGGATATATGGAGCACCTGTTCTGCACCAGGCACAGTGCTAGGCCCTTGCAGGTGTCACTCATTAAACCTCTCAGCTAGTCGGTGAGGTTTGTCCTATCTTCCTCCTTCTGAAGGTAAGGAAACAGGTCACAGGGCGAGTCCCTGCTGGAGCTGAGTGACATGCTCGGAGCCCCTGCCCTCTCCCCTGCACCCTGCTGCTTCCTGCCAGGAGGCCATGGAGGGGAGACGCACAGGACCTGGGGAGCAGGAAGCTGCCTCGAGCAGCTGGGTCCCTGGCCCGCCGGCATCCGTTGTCTGGGCGAAGCCCCTCGGTCACCGTGAGGTGGGCCGGCTGATAGCTGTGGATGCTGAGGTTGAGAGGATTACACAGGTTCCACAGGACGTCGGAGGCCCCCTAAAGCAGCGCGTCACAGAGCTATTTCCTCTGTCCCTAGGGAGCTCCTGACCTAATGTGGACCTCCTCCGGGGGAGGGCCAGATGGCTTACAGACGGGAAACCAAACGCTTCGTAACAGCCTCACTCAGGGGCCCTGAGGACCAGGCCAGGCTGGCTGGGAGACGGAGCGCCTCTGCACGTGTGGGAGTGGAGCCAACCCCAGAGGCTTCCTGGGGTTCTCGGTGGGGAGCAGGGGTGGAGGTCAGGGAGGGCGTATCAGGAGAGCAGGGCTGTGACCCCGGGGGGCTTCCAGTCTTTTCCCACACTTGTCTCCAGTTCTCCCCAGGGCCCCTGAGCCAGTGTTGCCCTCTTCCTGACCTTCATTCTTCTCTTGATGGAGTCATTCATTTGCTCATTCATTCCACAAATATTTACTGAAGCTGCCCTGCACCAGACCTCACACATATTCTGGAGGCGGAGGAATGAGTCCCAGGTGGACCCGTGGTCTCCCTATCCTTGAGTGACCCTACAGGGGGGATCCCAGTCTGGTGGAGACAGACCTGGACACAATCATTTCCACACAGGGTAATAAGGGACCCCCACAGAAAGGAGGGGCTGTCTCAGCCTTCAAAGGCCTGAAGAAGGCTTCACAGAGGAGGTGGTGTTACACAGGGCTTTAGAAGCTGTGTAGGAGTTGGGTGCACAGAGAAGGAGGGACCTGGCCTTCCAGGCAGCAGGAACCACAGGAGCAGGGGCCTCAGGAGGTGTTTGCCAGATCGGATGCGGAGGCAGTGGCCTCAGTGTGCACAGCCGGACCTGCCCATTCGTTCACTAACATTTTCAGACTTGTGTTTCTGGGCTGGGCCTGCTCCAGGCACTTGGGGATTCAGACGTGAGTCAACCTGGGCGCTGGGGACAGGAAGCTTTCAGGGCTTGTCTTATTGCCTGCTCTGTCCCTTGGGCCTGGGGTGGTGCCTGGCACCTAACGAACATGGAGGGGTGGTGAGTGCTGTGACAGAGGTGGGGAAGGGTCTCTGGAGAACTTAGTTATGCTTATCCTGGTCGTTAGAGACCGTTAAGCAGGAAGGGGCAGGGCCAGATCTGGGTGTCAGAAAGGCGGGGCCCTGAGGGAGGCTGCAGGAGAAAGAGACACCCCAGGTTGGGGAGGATGAGGCCTGAGCTGTCTGGGACTGTGGGGAGGGAGGGGATCTGATGTGGGATGTTAATGAGCTGGGCTGGGGGAGGGAGCAGGTGGGGTGGAGGCTGGGGCTGTCCCTGGGTGGTGCCCACACATCTGGAGTTGAGCGAGGGCGGGCTGGTGCCAAGACCGAGAGAGGTCCCTCAGGGAAGCTGGGGGTGCAGGAGAGGTGCCCCAGGGGATGAGGCTTTGCAGGGCCCTTCCCCAAGCCCCAGGCCCCGCCCCCTCCAAGAGAGGTTCTCCCTTCATCAGACTGGGACATGTCGTCCTGCTCTTTGGTGCCTCTGGGGTCAGACAGACCTCACTTGCATTCCTGGCTTTGCCTGGACCTCAGGTCATCCAACTCTCTAGGCTCCATACGTTCATCCTTAAAATGGGTCTAATAGTCCCACCTTGAAGGGCTGTGGGAGGATGGCATGAGATCAGCAGGCCCCCCTGGCAGTGTCCTGCTGGGAAGATGTGCTGAGCACATGTGAATCCCTTTTCTCTCCCCATCTGGCATCATCAGTAAGAATAGCAGTCGGGAATTCCCTGGCTGTCCAGTGGTTAGGACTCTGCGCTTTCACTGCTGAGGGCCGGGGTTCAATCCCCGGTCGGGGAACTAGGATCCCACAAGCCGAGTAGTTGGGCCAAAAAAAGTAAAGAATAGCCATCATCGTGGCCAGAGTCTTTGAGCCGTATGCTGAGCTCTTCGCTGGTGTTACTTGGCGTTCATGGCAGCCCTGAGGCAGGTACCGTTGTGAGCTCTGATTTTCAGACAAAACTAAGGTGCAGGAGGGTTAGGTGACGTGAATCGCGCAACTAGAGGATGGCAGAGCCCACATGCTTCTACGTTGTGCCACACCACATCGATTTCTGCTTCTTTCCAAGCCCTCGCTTCTGCGTTCTAGGCCTGGCCCTGCCGTCTGTACACTTTGTGACCTGGGTGGGTCTCTCCTCTCTGTCCTCAGCTTCCTCCTATAAAATGAGGGAACTAAAATATGCATAATAAACTGAAGGGGGTAAACTAGATCGGGGTTCTTTAAACTGCCCTCCAGGAAGTCTTGGTTATGGAATTGGGTCCTGGCTTCACAAAAAAGGTCCAGGCAAGCAGCTTGTGAGGAATGTTCTAGAACCCACCCTACTTTAACATTTCTTAGTTTCAAGGGATTTTTATAGAAGTGTAACATGCATACAGAAATTTGTACAAATCGTTAAGTGTACCACTCACTGAATTTGCAATTACTGAACACACCTGTGGGACCAGTTCTCCCACCCCCAGCTCTCCATATGCCCCTTCTGGTCTCTAACCGCCCCCCAGGTTAGCTTTGCCTGCTTTGAACTTCACATAAATGGCATCGTATTCTATGTTCTCTCTCTGGTCTGCCTTCTTGTGCACAACACGTGTTTGTGAGATTCACCCACGTTGCTGCAAATAGTTTAGTCTCGTTATATGTCCTGTTATATGAACGAACCGCGATTTACTTACCCACCAAATTGATGCGCATTGAAGTTTTTTCTAGTTCTTTTGCTATTGTGAATAGTCCTGCTGTGAACACTCTACCACACGCCTTTCGGTGAACATGTATAGGCATTTCTGTCGAGTGTATTTGCAGGAGTGGAATTGCTGGAGTTTTCCAGCCTCGGTAGATACTGCCAAAGCATTTTCCAAAGTGGCGGTACCATTCCCCATTCCCACTGGCAGTGTGTGAAGGAGAATTCCAGTCGCTCCTCAGTTTAGCTGGTGCTGAGTATAGGAAGGTGCCAACCCTACTGTAGTTTTAACTTACATTTCCTTAACGACCGTGGAAGGTGACCACTTTTTCATTTATTGCCTGTTTGGAACCTTCTTTTGGGAAGTCCCTGCTCAGATCTTTCTCTATTTTTAGAAAATTGGAATATCTGACCTTTTTATTGATTTGTAATCTATTTATGTGTTCTGGATATAAGTTCTTTGTTGGAATATGCATTGCAGAGAACTTCTCCCACTCTGAGGCTTGCCTTTTCACTCTTGGTGGTATTTTTTTTTGGCTGTGCCGTGCAGCTTGTGGGATCTTAGTTCCCCAACCAGGGATTGAACCTGGGCCCTCGGCAGTGAAAGTGAGGAGTCTTAACCAGTGGACAGCCAGAGAATTCCCCTCAATGGTATCTTTTTTTTTTTTTTTCAATATTTATTTATTTATTTGGCCGTGCCAGGTCTTAGTTGCGGCATGCGGGATCTTCGTTGCTGAGTGCAGGATCTTTGTTGCAGCGTGCGGGATCTTTAGCTGCAGCTTATGAACTCTTGTTTGCAGCATGCGGGATCTAGTTCCCTGGCCAGGGGTTGAATCCGGGCCCCCTGCACTGGGAGCGCAGAGTCTTAGTCACTGGACCACCAGGGAAGTCCCCCCAGTGGTATCTTTTGATGAAAAGATTTTTAATTTTCCTAAAGTCCATTTTATCCTTTTCTCCCTGCTTTACGGTTAATGCTTTTATTTATTTATTTATTTACATACTTACTTATTTATTTATTTTTGGCTGCGTTGGATCTTCGTTGCTGCGCGCGGGCTTCCTCTAGTTGTGGCGAGCGGGGGCTATTCTTCATTGCGGTGCGCGGGCATCTCATTGTGGTGGCTTCTCTTGTTGCAGAGCACGAGCCCTAGAGTGTGTGGGCTTCAGTAGTTGTGGTGAGTAGGCTCAGTAGTTGTGGCGCACGGGCTTAGTTGCTCCACAACATATGGGATCTTCCCAGACCAGGGCTGAAACCCGTGTCCCCTGCATT